ACCCTTTTTAATGCTGGTTGGAAAACATTTGCACATATTAAGTGCATATAAAATCAAAAAATTACTATCACTGGTAGGGTAGTAAAGGTTTATGGTAATAAGTCACAAAATCATAGTCATTCTCTCCAACTACCAGCTTGCACCGTATTAAACTGACAAAAAATTTTCACATCCATTTTAAAAAAAAAGTAAAAGGTATGATATCAAATATTTATGTACAATAGCAGAGTTAAAGTTAGAGTTAAAATTCTAAAACTATAGAAGACTTTGAATCACATCATCACATTTCGCCCCCTTTTATCCCTTTCCAATTATTCCAACTCCTCATACTCCTTCAGCTGCTCCTTCATACAAAGTTAGGCCCACAGTGCACTTTATCTCCCAGCCATTTATCAAGAAATACTGTTCCGCCTTCAGCTACGCGTGAAGCAATGCAGTTCAGTTGCTGGCTGTCCATCCAGCAGTGCAGCTCAGTGCCCAACCCTCATTTTTGGCCAGAAATCCCACTGCAATTTATTTTGCATTGTCTAGTTTTATTTGGCTCTTGGTGGATTTTAAATAGCTACATATGGCTAATGGTATTTTTGGAGTATGAGGAGGACACCAGACATTACCTGCATCTCTGACTTTGGCCACTAGTCATGGAATGGGTGGGGCTTATGACAATGGGAAGAGGCTTTTTTTCTCTGTACATGAATTTGATACAGAAAGGTAATGAAGGGATTAAACATTAAGCTAATATATCTTTTAACATCCTGTGAGGACTATTAGCTGGATAAAAGTTAAAGTTTTGCATCCACGTGTAAAAAATCTTTATCCCTCTCCGTCTCTTCAGCTTACTTTATTCCCCCTCCACACCCCCTCCTCTGTTACTCTCCTTTTTGGCCATCACGGTGAACACAAACAGACCTTTGCCTTCGCTTAGTGTGTATTTGTGTTTGTGTACTTGTGCGCTTGTATATTGACGCTTCTGATGACAGTATCACTCTCTCCCTCCCGGCAATCGGTGTGTTTTTGTTTACACTCTTTCCCCTCCCCCCATCGCTCTCCTCTCCTCTCTCAGGGTGAATGTCTTACATCAGATCACTCGAAGCATTTATAGCAAAGCTTTTGAAGCTTAGGACTCCCACCGTGGCCAAATATAGTAAACGTGAATCCTGCAGCTGTGTGTGTGTGTGTGTGTGTGTGTGTGTGTGTGTGTGTGTGTGTGTGTGTGTGTGTGTTAGAGGGTAGATGAGTGTGTGTGTGTGTTCTCCTGAGTTAATGGCTCTGGGGTAGAAACGTGTTTGTTATTGTTCCCAGCACTTTGCCTGTAGACAACACTGCCAATTAAAGGGGAGGTTTTATGTGTAAAGAGCAGGAAGTGTTGCCATGTGTGGCTGCACGCTATTGGCTGCCCAGCTTCTCCCATGTTCCTTCCCTGGGGACTGAGCAGGGCTCTTTACTGCCATGGCCAAATGAAAGGTAAACACAACACACCTTTGATCAGAGTTTGCATTTAAAACCCTTACTGGAAGTGTGTGTGTGTGTGTTTGTGTGTGTGTTTGTGTGTTTGTGTGTGTGTGTGTGTGTGTGTGTGTGTGTGTGTGTGTGTGTGTGTGTGTGTGTGTGTGTGTGTGTGTGTGTGTGTGTGTGTAGGGAGGCGGCAAGAAAATTACTGAATGACACAGTGAGGTTTATGTGTGTGTGTGTGTGTGTGTTCAGCTTAATGAGAGATAAGCTCTCCAGGATGCTACTGCCTGCTCCTCCTCCTCCTCCTCCTCCTCTTGTTGTTGAAGCATGAGTGAAATCATCCCTCCATCCATGCCTCTGTCCCTCCATCCCCCCATCCAGCCAGCATGAAAACAAAACAAGGCGTTGTATGAATGAAAGTGGGAGGGGCTGAGTGGCCTAGAAAGGGAGGCAGGCAGATAGAGAGATAGATAGTGGTGCAGGGCAGGGTGAGGCTGTGGCAGATAGGAGGGATAGAGAAGAGGACAGTGGAGTAGGAGGAGGAGGAGGAGGGGATGAATGAATGAGTGAAGCTGACTGGATGCATGTTTGGCATAGCAGCTAGCTTGTGTAGCTCGGCGCTAGCGTGAGCAGAATGTGGAATAATGCTGCTGCAGTAGTGCTGTTCTGCTACTGTAGTTCTCCCTGCTGAGACCTCTGTGCTGGGATCAGATAGAAACAGGAGAGGAAAAGGGTAAATACACCTCAGATCAATAAAGAAAATAACTGAAAGAAAAAATAAAATGCCAGGGTAGAGCATTGATTTATTGCACATTTCTCAAGCTGAGTTACTAGCACTACCTCTCTCTGTTTTGGCCCAGCTTCACTCTTAAGCTCGTTTTAATTCACCCAACGCAGCGGCAGTAGATTCGTCTTCTCTGGCATGCTGGCTACTTGGCTGCGTCTGCCCCCTGTCTGCCCCAGCAAGGCCAGGGTTAACCCTGGGCGTCTCTCCTCCCCGACATGGAAGAGGCCATTGAATGGCTGCCTCCCCCAGTCAGCAAACACATTGGCTGAAGCTGAGGGTGGATCTGGAGCTGGAGCGGTAATCCGACATGGATCCTAGGCTGGATCTGGATCTGGATCTGCTAGCTGTCTCAGCCCTCCCTGCTCTGTTATGTGATGCCGTGGTCACAGCATGTACACACACAGCAGACAGACAGAGGGGGAGGGCTGGGGAAGAGCTATGCATTTTTCTCTCTGGGTCAGAGACGACTGTGTGCAGTAGTGGGTTTACTAGCTCATAGTAAAGAAAATGTAATGGAGCGACCCCTGTATGAACTACCCCAGAAGGTCGGAGATTATGTTTTTTCTACATTAGTCATTCCCCCTCTCCGCGGTTTTGACCCCCTGTCCCTTTCGTCATTGTTCTTTTCTTTAACCTTATTTTCTCACCCCTCCTCTTCCCCTGCCACAACCCAGTCTGTCCTTTCTGCTTTTACTCAGGCAGCACAATGGGCAGCCCTCCCATGCAGAGGGGGTCCTAGCTGTATCCTTGGCAGTGAGAGCTCATATGATGTCCTCACAGAGGTGGCATCCCACAAAGGCTGGCATATAGTGCCCCCCATTGCACTTTTAAGCTAACAGTGTGATGCACTGCTTTAAACATTGTTTCTGCCAGTTTTGTAGCTGCTAAGGAACAATGACAGTGGTCTATTTTTTATTTTTTTGCTTTGTTTAGAGTCGGGATAACTCCAATATCATGGGAGCTGATCAAAATACTCTCTAATGCAGAATCTTCCTTTTCTTGATGCTGTAAATTCTCACCTATAAACCCCAAAGCAGGGGTCAAATAATTTCATAAAATGTTTGTTACTTGACCTAGATCTGTTTCTTGCCCCGCCGCTCTTTGGTTCAGTTAGCACATGATATCAAAGCTGACAGTATAGTGAGAAACATGGTGAGAGACGGTGATTAACACACAGGGTCGTGGACAGGAAACCCAGTCGGAGGTCAGATATGGCCTAGATATTTTGCTGTTTTTCTCTAGTGGATTCCAAAGGAAATTGAAGGACCGAAACACTTATATAAAAAAACAACACAAGAAACGTATGTTGCCTAAAGGTGCGAGTGGCTGATAAATCTATACAGCTTAGACATTTTATCTGCCAGTATTTCACTTGAGACGACTGGTTGATGTTATTTACCTGACAAAGTAGATGCTAGACTAAAATAAACTGCCTCAGTAAACTCTTACGCACCAGTGACGTATGGCGATTTCCTATCCTGTTTGCACCCAGTCTTTATTAGCAGTTGGTAAAAAGGTCAGTGCCTGGTATAAGGTGAGATCTAATGAGTCTCTCTCAGGCAAGGCAATAACAGCTAGTTTATTAGATCATTACAGGGCACAGGTCAAACCTGACTGCTAATCCAATCACAGTTGACACTCAGGCTTTTTCACTAAATGCTGTTTTCCAATAGGTCAAATGAAACTTGACATGAGCCAATGACATATAATGTTCAGCCTATTAGCAATTAAGGTTGTTTCTATGGCGCTGCAGCCCGCCGCTCTTGGCCATCAGACATAAATTGTGGACACTCACTCCCTCATGGATTCTAGGTGGGCAATCAGTGGTTGTCCAATTGCATATTACAGCTGGAGCTTGTCTGATTGTAGTCTTGAATGCTAATTAGTGTTTGTCTATTATGTGCTTTTGTGCAAATTAAGTTTAAATCTCTTAATTAGCTGTGTTAGTGTGTGTGTATCTTTAGTATAACATAACCACAGAATACAATACATAACAATACAGTAACCCAACTTGTTTATACAACATTGTGTTACTTGTAACACTACCTTAGGATAGTTAGGTTCATGCTTTGTTAATCTACAGGGGCTCAGACAAGTGTGTATACCATCACCCAGCGAGGAGATCACTGATAAGTGTGTATATCTTCTTATTTATTGTATTGACATTTGTTTGATCTTTTCCAGGTTTTTCGAGTTTTAGATCATTGAGTCATGATTATGATAGTACATCTTCCTATATTATATTGTAACAAGGAACCACAAGGCCTAGCGGAGAACACCTGTTTATAGTTCATGCAGCCATGTTCATGTGTGTGTACCTACTACTACCAAACATGGATGTGGTTCCCTTGCTGCTCTCAGATCAGAGCAAACCACCACTTGGTGGCCATTTTGACCACAGGATTTTGTTCGCTCCGCCCCTTCTTGTTTTAATGTTTTGTGAGTCGTTAAATGCTAGACGGAGTGACAGAGACAGAGAGAAATATCCCTGCCTACATGCAGCCCCGTGCTGTTTATGTTTGGTATTTTGTTTTTGTTTTGCTTTGCTCTGCAGGGTATTTGTGTGTTTTGGTGAACTTTGGATAAGTCCCACTGCTCTCCCACTCGTCTCCAAATGCCATCTCAACCAGGGCTGGTTATAAACATTGTCTTAATGGTGATACTAGTTGAGGCCTAAATAAAACATGACTGAGTCAACCTGTATCAAACCTGATATTAACCACCTCTGTCCCTTTACTCTTCTTCTTCTCTCTTTCCTCAGTGTGCTTGGACAACTGTAAGCATAGTGCCTGTAGCCTCCAGGGCCAGTGTTGCCATGACCAGTGCCTGGGTGGCTGTTCTGAGCCAGGTAATGCAAGTAGCTGTGTGGCCTGCCGGAACCTCCAACATGGGAATACCTGTATGGAAAAGTGTCCTCCTGGATTCTATGTCTTCAGGGGCTGGCGCTGCGTCAGCTTCAACTTCTGCCAGGTTGGTAATAACTGGAATTCTTAAGGTTAACTCATGTAATATTTTGCACCCATTTAGACATAGGAAACCCATTGCAAACATTTATCTCTCAAATGTGTTGTCCTTGTTTTTAAATCCAGGAGCTCCACAACCAGTGTAAGCAGAGTAAGAAGTTAAACCAGGACCGAGAGTCGGGCTGCTACGAATATGTCATCCACAACGGGGCCTGTATTCCAGAGTGTCCCTCTGGATACACCACTATCAACTCCACTACGTACGTCTGGCTCACACACACAGACACACACACACACACACACACACACACACACACACTCGTGCCACCATAAACACTGCCGTGTTATTGATGGTGGCCATCATTACGTGATCAGAGATGTGATTGTCACCCACAACAAATCATGCCCCTGTGACTGCAGCAGAACAAGTGGATTGTGGTCACTAAACACACTCATTTGCACACAAGAGATGTTGGTGTTTGGAAGTTGATCAAACATAAAGGCAGAAGTCTTTTTTCCACTATGGAAAGTCTCCTCTCCTCTGTGGAGGAGGCGCTGGGCTGCTGAGGACAAATTACTATGAGACATTGTAGAGGTGCAAAGAAAAAGGCAAAACATCACCTGCTTCTGTGTTTTCCGTCGTTGTCAAACATAAGCAGTCCTGTTTAGCTGTGACAGACATTACATCTCAACCCTCAGTTTATAAAAACTCAAACAGTATTCTCATTTTAGTTGAAACTTAGTTTTATGCATCACAAAATAAGCAGCATACTATATGCATAAACAAAAGCTGATAACTCTGTCCTTTAATATTGGTATGATAAGTTACTCAGCAGCACCAAATACAAAGTGGCCATATGGGTATGAGACTACATAATTTCATATGTGAATAAGTCCTCTAATCTGATTTGCCGTAAATGAGTGCCTGGTGTTTTCACAGCCTCCATCACATTCTGTTCTCAGTGATTACACAGCTGCATCAAGTCAAAGCCTGACCAAACTGACATAAAAGAACAAATAATTGTCCACAGCAGTTTTCATATGCAGATTAAAATGCATAAACCTAATTTACGTAAAATGGGTCTGGTGTTGCATACAAAAAACACATTTTGTCAGCATTGGAGCAACATTTCTAATCATGCTAAAGCGTTTAGTAGAAACAGCATACAAGGGTGCACTAGAGTGAAATAATGCACCCTTTATAGCCAATTATTTTCCTATTGAAAGGATTATTCAGTAGGCTCAACTTTATACTCTGTCTGGGACCTATTTACTTAGTCTGGTTGAGTGGTTCACATGATGTTATTTCATGTGAAATAAAAGCAAATTAGAAATAAGAATTGTTGATTGATAGTGAGGATTTGGTGGATGTCTTTAAACCCAGTTAGGATAACAAACATGTACACTGACAGAGACACAGGCATTTATGGCTGCATGAAGAAGGCTTTAGGTATATAGGTCCTCTGTAGTAGCAGTATAGCTCAGTGTTTAAGCTAGGTGGTGTCACACAGGTGAAAGATCAAAGGTTCAAATTCCTGCAAAGACATTTGTCCTTAAGCACACTGAACTTCTTATCTTATTGCAAATTACCCCGAATAGAAGAGTCAGCCATGAGCCTTGAAAAAAAAAAGTGACCTCAAAAAACTGTCTGGACCTCACCTGGTCCTGTTTATCGCACAGCTTTGTCTGTGTGTGCAACAAGCGAGGGCATGACCTTATTTAGCATTCTTACTTGTAGTAAACGGGAGTAGAGGAACATCACTGGATTCCTCATTTAGCGTCAGTTGCTGTTGCTAAAGGAAGAGGACACGTATTTGTTTTGAGGCCAAGTATGTGTTTTGAAACCGCTCCTGTTTGCCTGCTTTCAAAACTCATACGTAGGTTTTTGGGCAATCGGGAAAAAAATATTTTCCAGTAGAAAGGTGATGGATATAATACTCTTGTTGTCTGTTTGTGGCTGGGCGAATCTGACAAAACAGCTATCAAGGGAGCTGCCAGTTAAGTTAAAAACAATATCAAATGCCAAGTCACATTCCAAGTAGTCGTCTTGTATATTTAAGCTAAAACAAAAGTCTTTACTTAAGTGTGGGACCACTTTTTGCTGGTGTAACGACAGATAAAGTTATAGAAGAAGAGAAGGAATAAAGACAGTGAGTGAAAAAGAAGCACAGAGAGGTGTATTTCTCTGAGTTTGTTCTAATAAGAGCAGGTTGTGTGCTGGAGATGTCTACGTCGCTTGAAGCCGCAGGTGGCTGGATGATTGATGGTGTTTGTGTGTTTCTGGTATACCTGCATACGTGCATGTGCATGTTTTTTTGTATACATGTGTATGTGCTTGCGCGTACATGCGTTTGAGTGCTCCTGTGTGCAGAACGTGTTTGTGACTACATTAGCTCGTTCCCAGTAAAGTGTTTGGTCAGGTTACTTTTTCCAGGTGCAGGCTGAGGGAAATGTCCACTGCGTCCAGATAAAGAGAGGTGTATATGTATATATAGATATGTTTATTAGGTAAATAACACACACTCACATGCACAGAGCTTTAGCACACCCAGTGGAAATGGTAAGGACATTTCACCCAACATGACTTTCTCCAAATGTGTCTTGTATGTGTGTTAGAGAGCGATTGACTTTCCCTTGCATGCTTCCAGCCTCCAGGGATTATCAGGTGCTTAGACCGAAAAGAACATTGCTTTAAGTCTCAGTCATACACCCTGAGGCATAAGGCAGAATGGCATCTTTTGTGTGTGTGTGTGTGTGTGTGTGTGTGTGTGTGTGTGTGTGTGTGTGTGTTTCTTATGCACGTGCTTGCATATAGATGTACGTGTGCACACATCATGTGATAAACCAGACTTTACTTTTCATTGGGATTCTGTTGCAGTTGCAACATCAGGGTCCTCAGTGTGTCTGTTTTGCTGCTATGGTTTAGTTATAGCAAGAACAAGCGTCATCACAGTGGCTTAGCCTGGCAGAAGCTACACCCAGACAGACACACACACACACACACACACACACACACACACACACACACACACACGCCCAGACAGTCAGGCAGACAGCACACATTGTGCATATTCGTACACACACACACCAATGAGGATTGACAAGGGGAGTAGGGATGTTCCAGAGCAGGGGAAAAGGAGGCCCAAGGGTTTGCATCATGGTTTTCTGTGACGCCAATAAAATCCTACCTCCCTTTGGCATCCTTCTATAGTATTATACAGATTTCAGTATCTATAATGTTAGTCTGGATATTTAGTATATAAAGTATACAATGATTAAAACATTTTAAAGAAGCACGAAGGAGAAACTACAGTGGCCACGAAACAAAATGCGAACGCCCCTATTTAGAGCCAGTGTTTGGTTTGTCCCTTTTGGGATACTGTAGAAACATGACAGCTCAACGTGGCGGACTCCATTGAAAGCAACCTGTGGATAAAAGATAAAAACATCTCATTCTAATGTAACAAAAACATACTGATTCTTATATTCAGGTGATTATACAGTAATGAAAACATACCTATGAATATATTCCATTTCTGCCAATAGACCCTCCTATACACTGGACCTGTAAGAAATCAGATGTCACAATAACATAAAAACTGTCTTATTATTCTGACAAAGGAACAGTCAGGTGAACAGCCTTACATATTTTTGAACCATTTCATGATAAAAAACATGTTTTTACACATGCTTATACATAAGCAGGTACGCTGTATCCTCTATAGACAGGTAGCTGTGCTCTCTTGCCGTCACTAACATTCACTGAGAAGGGCTTTCTCATCTTTCCTGGATGCTGTAACAGCACAGTAGTACGGCAGTATGTGTGCGTGTTTGTGTGTGAGTGCACTTGGTCTGGTTGCGCCAGGACTCGGCCCAAAACCAAACCCGAGCGTCAGCTGCGGCTTCTGTTCTAGATGGTTCTAGCAGACCCTGGAGCCCAAGTCACGGAGTTCAGCCGGACAGATAAACACTGTCCCTTTAAGAGCTGCCGTTGAACCAAGCCTGTCTGCCTGTGTGTCTGTGTTTTTCAGTACAACGGCCCAAAACATTCTGTCTTTCTACACTGCAACTAGAGCATTACTTTTGAGAAGCTGAATATATGATTTTCCATGTGGGAGCAAGACAGACACAAAATATCCTCGAGATTTTCTTCTCGCTGTTGTTATGGAGAGATCATTACAGTGTGTTTCCACTCACTCAGAAGTCATAGAGGGGAAACAATGATATGGCCTCAGATTGATGTAATTTATTAAGAGCTTGATAAGATGGAAACTAGGATAGGCCAGGTGTGTATGGGGTCATTTAGCTCTCTCAGGATGCGCAGGAAAAGCCAGGCAAGGACCCAAACAGCTCCCCCGGGACTCAGTGTTTCATGTAGTGAACGGTACCTATAGCACAGCCTGGCTGCTTGGGGGGAAAAGAAGGGGCATAGTTCGGGTAAAACTGTGTGTGAGTGTGTGAGTGTGTGTGTGTTTCCTGGAGAGGGGGGATTATAATAAGAGTTGCATAAACATAGAATTAAATCAGGTTGAGCTTACAAATGGCAGTTCATGCAGAGCTTGCATGGTCCTCGCAGTGAACAACAGCATCCTTTGTTAGCTGTTCCCCAGGCACAGGCACTGCTTTAAAAAGTGGTGTTGGGAGCGATATGTTGAGGGTTGAGGTAGCCGACCAAAAAAAAAAAAGTTCATGTCTTAGGCAGACCTTTGTGGTTAGGGATGTCAAGGCTGGAAGTGGAATTAAAGAGAGGGATTATTTTCTTTTGAGAGGGCTTCAAAAAAATTTGTGAATGAAGTGTCGGGTCCCTTTTCTCTGTGTGTCGTGTACCCGGTTGCTCGCTAGACAAGGCCTTCCTTTTGTGAATGAGTTTCCTGAAAGGCAGCACTATCAAGGCCTCATTGCTCAGTGTGTATGTGATTACGTGCCCAAGCACAGGTTTGCTGGGAGAGGACGCCACTCATAGAGCTGAGAGAGAGGGAGAGAAACAGAGGAATGTCTGTTGGCAACTGCAGCTGGTGTTTCAGTCATGTTGTTTTTGTTGTCTGTTATTGTGCTCTGTGTTTGTGCATTAATTTGTGTGTTTGTGTGTTATATGTGCAACAGAAGTAATTGAAGCAAAGGATGAGAAAGCTCTCTCCTCCATCCCCCAGTGCTAATAAAAATGAAGGAGGCTCAGATGTGGATGAGAGATTGTCTCATCTAATTCCACTCCTAAAAGCCTATAGATTCATTATGGGACATATCAAATTAATTGAGAGAATTATACAAATTCACCTCTGAATACATCAGCTGTGTGATCAGTCTGTTTTATTTTCTCTTATTTGAGCTTATCAGTTTAAGAAACCTTTCCACTCACTATTGTTCATATTTAAGCAGCTTTGTCACTTTAAAGTTAGTTGTTTTAGCACAAATTTCATAAATCTAGCTACCACTTTGCTTATTAGTTTTTAATAAGGATATGTATTATATTAAGAAGGCAGAGAATAGAAAGATAAGTAAAGTAAAAACAAGAATGAGCATAACACAAACTTGAATATAAAGCCAGACAGCTGCCTGCATATAAAGATCAGAATAGAGTTTAGAGACTAGAGGAAATGTATATCAGTTACATTCAACTGAACAGATTCCGCCTTGTTGTTTGAAAATGCATTGTCATCCCCGGTCCCAACCCACACCACACCAGTATGTCACTGAGCATTCCTGCCTCATACCATTCAGTCCTGCATCATTCCATTTCTGATATCCACACACAGAAACATTCATGGTATTTGTTTATTCTCCTCTCTCTTGTTGTTTGCCTTCACTTATGGCATTGCTCTGCAATATTAACGTCACACTAAGTGTGGCATGTTAGAAATGATTGTTGATAGCTCTTGTTGTTTCATAGCTTTGGAATGTGTCTACCACAATAATGCCATCTTGATTAGATACATGTAATGTCCTCACTCGTCTGTATTGATGGCAAACCCCTATCAGCCTGTAGTTACTGAATTAAACAACACATTGATGTACACATGATGTTGTTTTGTTCAAGACACACACCCTCAGTCATTAGGATGTTGATGTTGTGTTGATGGTCCTAATCTGTGTGCATGTTTCTCTCTGTGTAGGTTGACCTGTTTGCCATGTGCAGGCCTTTGTCCTAAACTGTGCGTGGGAAATAAGACGATTGACTCTGTAACTTCAGCGCAGGCTTTGAGAGGCTGCACTGTTCTCCACGGCAACATGATCATCAAGATTCGAGGAGGGAGTGAGTACTACTACACCTCACCTCCTGCTGGGCTTCCTGTGGAGGCTCTGGTTCTCACACTATGTCTGTCTCCTCCTCCCTTCATTGCTCAGTCTGTGTGTGTCTCTCTGACTTCTAGCCATACAGTGTGTTAAACTGTGTGACCATTTCCTTACAGATAACATTGCAGCTGAGTTGGAGGCTAGTTTGGGCCAGATTGAGGAGATCACAGGCTACCTGACTGTTCGCAGAGCCTACGCCCTGGTCTCCCTCTCTTTCCTCCGCAAACTACGTGTCATTAGGGGGGAGCATCTTGAGGGAGAGTAAGTCTTCTCCTCTTTCCACTCCTCTCCTCTCCAGGTTTATCAATTTAACTTATTTAATTTGTGTCCTACATTTAAATTTCTGTCTCTCTTCTGTCTCTTTTAGTATCTATGCTTTCTACGCACTGGACAACCAGAACCTGCGTGAGCTGTGGGATTGGTCCAAGCACAATCTCACCATCCAACGTGGTCGTACGTTCTTCCACTACAACTCCAAACTCTGCATGTCTGAAATCAGAAAAATGGAAGAGGTAACGGGAACCAAGGAGCGCAACCAAAAGAATGACATCGCTGTACGCACCAACGGGGACCAAGCCTCTTGTAAGAAAGCCAGAATGTCCGACATGAGATTGTGAAATCGATACTCACCTTTCTGATTACATTTATTTATTGTATAAATAAATTGTTCTAAATCAGCTCTTGATATGTTTGTGCTTTCAGTACAATAATTCCAGTACCGTACATTTTGTTCCGTTACTTTTGATTTTGTTTTTACTACTTTAACATTTCCTTTTTTAACTCTTAAGGTATGAGAGTTCATGCATCATTTATCATCTACTTGCTGAATGTATTGTAGTGCACTGCTATGTATGGCAACGCACTGCTAATGCACACTGCTGTCAGTAAATGAACAGCAGAGAAGCTTGAACAAATAATAGCAGCCAAGTGTTGAATGAAATAAAATACTATATATAAATTGAGAGCAAGCTTTCCTTCAGGAACAATATACACAGTATTACAGGAATATATATATATATAAAACCATAAGCCTGTAGAAACATGGGAAAGAGGTTTTAAATGCAGCAATAGATTATTAATGCAGAATTTAAGCCGTCAAACATATCAACATCGTTTACTCATTTTAATATAGGCCATCTTCAGGCTAAACACATTATGCAGCTACATTTTATTTAGAAAAATATAAATATCTGGACTTAATATTGGCAGACACTCAACAGTAAAGGACTCAAAACTCATCAGGACTTCCTTACTATATGGAATGCTGATGATTTGAAGTTTACCATTATGGTGTGTTTGTTTCCGTGGAGTGTTTTGCACTGTTCATTTCCTCTTTTACCAAACCCATGTGCTGAACATCTTCTGTTTCATCCCTTAGGTGAGACCAAGCTGCTGAAATTCACAGTGATCAAGACCACATCAACTATGATAATGCTGAAGTGGGAGCCCTTCTGGCCTTTAGACTTCAGAGACCTGCTGGGCTTTATGGTTCTCTACAAAGAGGCGTAAGTATCTACAAGAAACCATGTGATTTTTCGTACCATGGCACAAAACATACCAAAGTTAATTACAAAATAAAATTACAGCAGTTAGTCAAAATGAGCAGCCTTGCTTGATCTCATTGCTGCCTTTGATGCTGTCGATCATAATATTTTAATCAAGAGACAACCAGATTTAGTTGGTCTAACAGGTCCTGCTCTTAGCTGGTTTCCCCCCTATTTCAATGATAGGGCATCCTGTGTTTCTCAGTAGCTTTGAATCTACTGAAACTAAGATTTTCTCAGGGGGTATCAGGCATTTAAATCGATACATATGTTGTCATTTATATGCCGATGACATGCAGCTGTTGTTTGCTATTTCTACTGTTGGTTTGGCTCTCCAGTATATTTTATTTAATATAATCTTATGTCAGTTGTTGTTGTGTGCCCTTTGATGTAAATATATAAATAACAGTTGCCTTGCATTGTCTTAACTTGCTCATTAAGCTCCAATGATACTTCTCACAGTTAATTTGCACCTGTTGATTCGTGTTTTTCCTGATCTCCTCCTTTCCATCTGCTCCAGGCCATATAAGAATGTGACAGAGTTTGATGGGCAGGACGCCTGTGGCTCTAACAGCTGGGCGATTGCCGATGTTGATCCTCCATCTCGTTCCACGGACAGCAAGAAGGCGGATGATCCGGGGCACCTGATCCGACCGTTGAAGCCATGGACCCAGTACGCCATTATGGTCAAAACCCAACTGTCTGCATCTGACGAGCACCAGGTTCATGGAGCCAAGAGCGAGATCATCTACATCCGCACCAATGCCACCAGTGAGTTACTCTCCTAAAAAGAATACCCACATATAAGGAAAATATGTTTTTAGAGACTTCGCTTGTCCAGGACGTTGGATATTTCATGGAGACTGCTTAACTGATTAGAGAATATATTGACTTTACACTTGGATGATGAAAAAATCGCAATTGTTGGACTCTCTTGCCTTAAAAGTACTCTTAATATTTTTCCTGTAGACAAAGGCTTGATGATGAAGGACAGGGAACTGGTGGCTTTAAGGTCGTACATTACCAGTGCAGTTCTGACTATTCTCTCAATGTCCTCCTCCATCCCCCACAGAGCCCTCTGTGCCTCTGGATCCCATCTCCTCCTCCAACTCTTCCTCTCAGATCATCCTGAAGTGGAAGCCTCCCACCAGCCCCAATGGCAACATCACACACTACCGCGTCATCTGTCGTAAGCAGGCTGAGGACAGCGACCTCTACAAGTTCGACTACTGCCTACAAGGTTAGTATCCACAGGTTGCCCCATTTGAGTTCGCCCACGGGACTGTTTGCAAACACATGAGCTGGCCTCACCCCTGTTTCACCTGCCCAGGAATGAAGCTGCCGTCACGTACCCCGACCCACCTGGACAGCGACGATGAGCAGAAGTGGAACCACACAGATGAGCCCACCTCGGGGGGAAGGTGCTGCGCCTGCCCCAAGACAGACAGCGAGCTGAAGAAGGAGCAGGAGGAGATAGAATACCGCAAGACCTTCGAGAACTATCTTCACAATGAAGTGTTTGAGAGCAGGTACACATCCCAGATTGTAATTAAATGTTACAGCTCATGACCAACACATCTGGACACAATTTCCAAACTGGGTTGAGTAATGGTAATGTTTGAGATCAACAGTAATACATTTTAATTTGTCTTTTGCTTTCAGTCATTTTATAATTGTAGTTGTGGCATTTTCACTGAGATCATTTTAAACACTCTGGTGGTCCCTAAACGTTTTTAGACAATATACAAGTTTGTGTTTTTGTCAGGTTGCAGCTTTCGCTCGCTTGTTCTGACATATGAGTCAGTTAGACTAGCACCAAGAGGAGCTTCTTGCTTTGTAGGTTGTTGTTTGTGGCAGTGCACCAACAACATTGGAGCCCCTCTATCCAGCCAGACCAGATCACTCCTATTTTGTCCCAGCCACCATTATGTGTGTCTCAAATCGGCTCCGTGCCAACTCTGTCCCGTGTGTGTGTGTGTGTGTGTGTGTGTGTGTGTGTGTGTGTGTGTGTGTGTGTGTGTGTGTGTGTGTGTGTGTGTGTGTGTGTGTGTGTGTGTGTGTGTGTGTGTGTGTGTGGTTTATATAGACCCTTGTTTTTGTACTGGGCACTACAGTGGGGGGCTTAGGGTGGGAGGTGCTGATTGTCTGGGCCCCGGTGCCCCTACCCTCTCCCCTGACACACACAGACAAACACCCACAGTCTCCGCTTCCCTAGGGGAGTGATTACTGTGCCCATTATCATTCATGCCAGTCAGGGGTGCAGTCATGCAGACTGCCATGCGGACTCACACAAACAGTCTCACACACCTCAGCTGCATTTTGAACTCATGCTGTTGAATCGGCCAAGGTCAGTTCCTTACACCGTAGTACACAAAGACCTCCTCGTGCCCTCTTTTTCCATCACGCAAAGGGACGCAGGAAGCTTTGTAGTTTTGTCCGACCTAACCAAGTATATTTACTCAGTCCTACACTTACCTGCACAGTGAAGGAGAGGCTTCACTGCACCAGCTTGGGGTAAAGGACACTGTTCAAGGGCACTTAATGGTAGATAGTTTTCTAATTCATAGACAGTGATTCTACCTGTGCTTATGCATAGGTACTTCTAGGTTTTCTGTGTTTTAATTGGTTTAAGTTCATGTTCTTTATGGTGGGCTTACACTCACAGAGTAATACTTGCTCATTGGAACCACCCAGTGGTTAGGGTTGGTAGCTCAGCCAGCAGGGTAGTATTTGTGGATAAATGTCATGCAGTCTTACTTGCTACACGCTGTAAAGGTTAGTGTGAGCAGAGGTCCTCACTGGCTTTCTCCACACTACTGCTCCCTCTGCCATCTGCCAGCATCTAATTCAAATGAGAGGCTTCTGACTTTTGTGTTGGTCATTTATTTGATTGATCATTCATGTTAGAGGACTACATGCAGAGTATAAATAACTTCCTCCAAATTTTCAGTGGCATTTTACCCTAACTTTTGCTAACTGCTTTACCCATTGTTCTGTCTCTCCAGACCATCCCGTCGGCGACGCTCAGTGGGAGTTGCCAACGCCACCCAAACTCTTAATTTCCTCCTCCCCACAGCCCCCGGTCTGCCATTTGGCTCCACCACAGCCACTCCTAAAGATGAGGATGAAGACGAGGAGGGATCTAAGGTCTTAAACACTATATTTTGTATATCATACCGGTTATATTTTGTGTGTCATTCTCTCTGTAACCTATGTGCTGATTAATTGCTATTCCCCATCCTTGATTTCCAGTTATAGGAAGCACATGTAAAATAAGAAAATGAATACTGAATTACTCAAAATTAGAAGAGAAAATGAAAACTGTCCTCAGTAAAAGAAGTTATTTATTTTAACTTAAGCTTTATCCATGTTATTTAATGCAATTAGTATGTTAGCCACTAATTTACACACTGTGTCTTTTAAAGCATGTGCCATATTTTCTGTTTGTTTGAAATCGTCTCTACCAGGAAAAGCATATTCCTGTTCAGTTTAGCCTCAGAATGGCAAAGGATGATACTATAATATGAAATATTGGTAATGTTGTGCTTAAAGCAGCAAACATACATTTTGTGTTGATTATGGAGGCCCCTGTGGACAAAAGTGGTCGTGTTCCCATTGTCTCATTTCCATTATTTCAAGAAGATTTTCACTGAATCCAACCCTGTGGCAGGCATTGAGAAGAACTATATAGAAATAGCCAATCTTCTCGCTGATGGTCTCGTGTGCTTATGTAGGTCATATAGAGGAATCAGTATTAAAGTGAATCTGTTACATAACCTGTTAAAAACTCCTCATAGTAAGTTTAAGGAAGCATAATTTAACTATGAATCACTGACGTGAGTAATTAAATCTCTTGTCTTATCTGCTCAGGTGGAGCTGAAGGTGTTCTCAAAAGAGTCAACAGTCATCTCCAACCTGCACCACTTTACCAGTTATAAGATAGAGATCATAGCCTGCAACCATCTGACTGACCTCAAACGCTGCAGCATGGCTACTTATGTCAGTGCTCGAACTATGCCAGAGGGTAAGAACAAATACAAATCTGTCACTTATAGACACGCTGTTTTCTTCTGTACACTTAGAGTAGCTAAAATGAATGCAGTCTTAGAAATATATTATCATATAAATATATATATGCTTTTGAAAGACACAAATACAAACTGACACATAATAATGCATGCATCAAATATCAAACACCAGACTGTTTCTGGAGGCAGATGGAGACATCAGTTGCCAACTAAGAACAACGTGGAAACGCAACGCTGCACATGTGTTAAGTGTTTCCCTTTATGTCTCGTACCCACAGAGAAAGCAGACCTCATCCCAGGCCGTGTGACCCATGAAATAGTGACAGCCGAGGCTCCCTATGTGTTGATTAAATGGAATGCGCCTCACTCCCCTAATGGCCTCATCATCCTATATGAGGTGTTCTACAAGAAGGTTGGAGACACAGAGGTCAGTATCATAGCCAAACTTCTGGAGAGTGAGGATACAGGAAAAAACCAGGGGAAGGAAGGGGGTCATGATTCCTTTTTTTGTCCTAAACTGGACAGACTGGTGGGAGAGAGAGAGCAGGCAGAAATGATTTTGATCCTGTAGGAACGAGAAACACAGGGTTTAAAGGGCAGACAGGTACACAAGAAAACATGGATGAAGGTAAGAAGAAATGCAGAGAGAACAAGGAGTGATCTGGGTAGACTCTGGGGAGTGAATGCAGGCAGGAAAGGAAAGGTTTGCTGTATACACTCAAATTCTGTCTTTTCCTTATATGGAGAGAGGAACAAAGGAAATATTTGTTTACAAACTCCCAGTGCTACCACTGTGTGTTGACGTTTCCTGCCGCGTGTGTTTGCATATTATTATTCCTTTGCTTTTCTGTCTGTGACTCTGTGACTGTTCAAGTTTGTGTGTGTGTGTGTTTGTGTGTGTGTTGTTGTTTACTTGCTGTAAAAAAGTGTGAATTCATCACTCATTGCTATTCATTGCTGCACTGCCTGACCCAAGGAGCCAGTAGCAGCTCTGTTACCATAGTGACAGAGGCAGGAAGGAAGACTAGAATGCAGTGGCAGGGATGGACTGGCATCTCAGACGACAACTCCAGTGCACTGCTGTGAAAACACACCACTCACTAACACACCCTGCAGCTGAAACAAACTGGGTTTATTTAAAATGATGCTCAGAGAATGTCAGGGTCTAATTCATTATTTGGTTTATTGCACAGTGGCAGCATATGGCAAGACTGAACACTTGTTTTTGTTTCAGACCTCTGAATGACTGAATTAGCCTGCATGCTATCAGTTGTGAATATTCTAACAGAGCTTTGTTTTCATCTTTGATATCTGCCACCTAAAATATATGTACACTCAAAAACAGTTTCAGCATTAAAAAACATTGTCCTTGTTAATTTAATGCATTATTTATAATCCCAGCAGTCTAAAAGTATTTATTTGTTTTGAATATTTTTTGATTAAATTAAGTCAGTGGTGGAGGAGGAGCAATATTAAAATCCTTATTGGAGTCAAGCTTGGATTAATAGTTTATATTTATGTAGCATCCTAAGGTAGGCATGTAGGGATATCACCCAGCATGCATCAGGGCAGCAGACACGTGTGGCATCAATCTCATTTTATGTGTGTTCCTGCATTTTTACAGGCGTTACATTGTGTTCCACAATATTTCCACTTTTTACACACTCCCATTGTTGTTATACTGTTTATAATTAAGAGTAAATCCAGTATGACAATGCACAACTGGTGACATGTTTCCCAATGTGAGTTCTACACATATACATATACATATATATATTTTTATATATATATATATAAAAATATATATATGTATATATAAATATATATTAAAAAAAAATATATATATATAAATATATATTAAAAATAAATATATATATATACATATATATATATATAAATATATATATACATATACATATATATATATAATATATATATGTAGTCAGGAGTCAAATCAGTGTGTTTTCAGTGTGCCTTCTCAGTGCAATTTTGGGTGTTTATATATATAAATAATTTCCAAACCTCAGCTTGGAACGCATCTGTGGGTTCTTCATACTTTAAAGGTCACAGAGTTGTAGTAGAAGTCTCCTTTGTAGAAAATAGTTTGTGATTTGGGTTAAACAGAGAATAATTTCTGCTCCCAAAAATAAGCATTTAGATTATTTCTCCTGATCTCTCATGTTTGATTTTTTTTTTCAGGTTCACACAGTTTGTGTGTCACGGCCGGCTTACCTTAAATCAGGAGGCACGAAGCTTTCGCCCGGACAACCTGGAAACTACAGCGTGAGGGTCCGGGCCACCTCATTGGCAGGAAATGGCTCCTTTACAGAAACCACTTACTTCTTCATGCCCAACCGTAAGGCTCGAGGCTATATGTCTGACTTTACTGAACTCACATGTCATAACAGTCTTTCATTATTCACGTGCATATGGAAGTTCTTAAACTGCTTATATGTTGTTGCCATTGAGTCTATGCATGTTAGAGCAGGTGAGGTCCTATAAGCCATTCACTTAAAAACTGTAAATTTTTTGTTTTTTTGGTTAAAATTTAATTTCTTGACATTTCTTCCATTTTTAATGTTATTGGACAGAAAGGTGGAAAATATGCTGAATTCTTCTCTGTTCAGAATATATATAAATAATATTTATAATATATTATATTCATATAATCGATCGACCAACTATATATATATAGTATAGTAGTTATTTCATCTCTGATATTATTGTTTTAAACATTATTATTCTTTACTCCAAGTGAACTGACCATTGACTTCTGTGTTTATTACAGCGGATCCAGGTTTAATTTGGATTGTGATCGGTCCAGTCATCTGCTTCATTCTGCTGCTGTTCGTGGGAGGCGGAGTCTTTGTGATCTTGAAGAAGAGGTAAGAAGGATATTAGATCCGCCCTGCTGGACACATAAACCGAGTGGATTACACCAAATGACATCAAAGACTGAGTGGTGCTTATTCTGTTTAGAAACGTAGATTGGGGTTTTTGAAGTAGAAGGTGTTCAGTTTGAAGCTATCAGGAGTATGTGACAGGACAAATAAACAAGACAGATTCTGCAAGAAGGTCTGGACATACTGGAGAAAGTCCACATCTTATTCCAGTTTTCAGCTTCTCAGATGCTTTCTGTGGTTGTATTACAGGCAAACAGAAGGCCCGACCGGACCACTTATTGCCTCCTCAAACCCAGAGTACCTCAGCGCCAACGATGGTAAGAACAGCGTCATAACAAAACTGCTTTAATAAATAAATTGTGCTGTGATCATTTGTGAGTGGTTCACTTCATCAAAATGGTGTCTGTTTTATGTAGTGTATGTTCCAGACGAGTGGGAGGTGCCCCGGGACAAGATCACGGTGCTCCGAGAGCTTGGTCAGGGCTCCTTCGGCATGGTGTATGAGGGAATCGCCAAGGACATCGTCAAAGGAGACCCGGACACACGCGTAGCCGTCAAGACCGTCAACGAATCAGCCAGCCTGCGCGAGAGGATTGAGTTCCTCAACGAAGCCTCCGTCATGAAGGCTTTCAGCTGTCACCACGTGGTACGGCACCACAAAATACTGTTTCCTCTCACAGCTTCATTACTGACTAACAGGGATACTGGAGCAGCTATCCACACACGTGTGGATTACAGTATATTACAGCTTTCCATAATTTTGTCGAAAACCAGCATGAACATGTATGACTCATCGAATCATGACTTGCTTGTTGTGTTGACGCTGCCATATTGACACACAGTTTGACTCCAAAAACAAAGCCCTGCTTAATTGTAAGCAGTTGTGCCTAAGATTGCTATTTTCTTAAACAGGATACTAAGCACACCAATTAAACTGCCATATGTTGGGCTGTCATGTTGTCATATATATATATATATATATATATATGTATAAGGACAAGTATTTCTAAGTTTTTGTAGTCACTAACTGTGAGTTTATACATTGTTTTTATCACCTGTGCACCAACTGTGTTTTCTTTATTTTTCTCTGTGTAGGTCCGTTTGTTAGGTGTGGTGTCCAAAGGTCAGCCCACTCTGGTAGTGATGGAACTGATGACCCACGGTGATCTAAAGAGCTACCTGCGTGGTCTCAGGCCAGACTCTGAGGTATGTGTCTTCATTTAAAAAGAAATTTAAGATAAGATAAGATAAGATATTCCTTTATTTATCCCCCTTAGGAGAAATTCAGGTTAACACAGCAGTAATAGGGCAAAGTAGTGCAAAAGCAGAGAACAAAGAATATCACAATAAAAATATTACTAATATTATTAATATTAGAAGATATAAAACTATAAATTAAAGTATATACACTATGAATACATAAGTATTCAATAGTGAACTTCAATACAGAAGTTGAGCTAAAGTACGCTTAGTTGTGATATTTCTACACATCACTGACTGACCTTATAAACTTTTTTTTTGTGTGTCTGTGTTTGTGTAGAACAACCCAACAGGCCGTTCACCACCTACGCTGAAGGAGATGATCCAGATGGCTGCAGAAATTGCAGACGGCATGGCCTACCTCAATGCCAAGAAGTTTGTCCACAGAGACCTGGCAGCCAGGAACTGCATGGTGGCAGAGGACTACACTGTTAAGATTGGAGGTACTGAATCTTGTTTTGTTTTTCCTTGTTGTTCAGATTTCAATTCAATTCCAGTAAGTGTGAACCTATCGGTTTGTGGTGTACCGTTTTAAAGCCTCAAGTTTGGCATTGTGGCTGTTGCCATGATGGACTTTCAGAGCCAGCAGCGGTGACGTACTACATGTTGAATTGCACTCAGTTTTGACTCGTCCGGAGCAGGAAACAATGACTGCTCTACTGGTCACACACGTTCACGTATTATAGCTAAACAGTATTAACAGTATTAGTACTAAAATATGTTTCTGAAAAGATTAAGCTAGAAAAAGTAAATAGAGTAACAGAATCTTGATTCATATTTGATCAGCACTGCCTAGTTTGACCATTTTGTGTGTTGCGCTGGACGGATTCACTGAGAATGACTTGTCAATCACAAGGTAGCCCCTATTTTACTATAAATGGGACCATAATTTACTAAATGAACATCATGCTGTATGGAAGATATAATCATTAGGAAACTGTTTACTGAGCTAATAAATAAAGTGGGAAGCAGGGTCAATGGAGATATGTTTCACTGTGTGCTTACAGTTAAAGTATACTTAGCTTTCTCTCTCTCTCCCTCTCCCTCTCTCTCTCTTTCTAGACTTTGGTATGACCAGAGACATCTACGAGACTGACTACTACCGTAAAGGAGGGAAGGGCCTGCTTCCTGTCAGGTGGATGGCTCCAGAGTCTCTGAAGGACGGAGTCTTCACTGCCCACTCCGACTGCTGGTATGTCGCACCTCGGCAGTTGTGGCGCAGCCTTTGCTATCCTGATTACATTACTGGTGCATTTGGTCACGTGTTTGTATGTGTGTCTGCAGGTCGTTTGGCGTTGTGCTGTGGGAGATCAGCACGCTAGCAGAGCAGCCTTACCAGGGTTTATCCAACGAACAGGTTCTAAAGTTTGTCATGGACGGAGGATACCTGGACCGGCCAGACAACTGCCCGGAGAGGATGTAAGTAAACACTCAGGAAGTGTTTTATTCAAAACTACCTTGGGGCACCTTTGCTGCCTTGATCCTTAAAGTCTATCTGATCTGGATAATTGGACACAGTATTTCCGATGGAAGGTATCATTATGCATTTTTGTCAGGAACATCATTATAATCCAGATTCTACTTAACATGGTAAAGACGAAATTTGGTCTCTACAAGGTTTTTATATGTTTATGTTGCATCAGCAGTTGTTCTCTCGTGGGGTCCCATTATGTGTTGGTTTGTGTCTGGGAAACTTCTCAGTAATCGTCCTCTACCTCTATTTTTGAGTGCGCTCTGTGTCACCCTTTTCAATGTGGTTCACCACCTTCCACTAGGCCATTTTTCTCATTCCCTTTTAAATCTTTATTTCTTGTTCAACCCTCAAATGCATGGGTGTTTTTTTGCTCAAACATTCCTACATACCTCCGGTCTTTAGTGAGCTAACACTTATATAACACACGTCTCTTATTGAGCCATGTATTCAAATCATATTGCCTGTACACTTTTCAGAACATAGTATTAACAGTAAGACAAATATAATATGTTTTGCAGTTGTAGATTTGCAGTCATTAATATATTTCAGTGTAGCCTGTTATATTTAATGCTTATTGTGTACTATGTTACACATAGGCTACTGTAACTTCTCATAGACTGACACCTATCAAACACAAATTAGTCAGCACAATAATTACAAACCACAGTCAGCATGGATGTGCACATACTTTTCCAATGAAATTTGAGTACTTCATTGAATTAAATGAATGAATTAGACAGGTTGTAACATAGTATGCCTTTAGGAGTTAAAGCTTTCTGTCTCTTTATTTCTCCCCCAGGCATAGCCTAATGCAGATGTGTTGGCAGTACAACCCCAAGATGCGGCCGATGTTCCACGAGATCATCGAGATGCTGCGGGAGGACCTGCACCCGTCTTTCCAGGAGGTCTCCTTCTTCTACAGCGAGGAGAACAAAGTCCCAGAGACAGAAGAGTTTGACCTCGACCTGGACAACATGGAGAGCATCCCCCTGGACCCGTCTTCATACTCCCAGAGAGAGGAGAACTTAGGCAGGGACAGCGGGCCCTCAGTGGCCCTCAGGGGGAACTATGAGGAGCATGTCCCTTACACACACATGAACGGTGGCAAGAAAAACGGACGGATCTTATCGTTGCCCAGATCCAGCCCTTCCTAACGTTTCCTGTTTCCTTAAAAGAACTTGTTCATCCTGTCCCCCTTTCCCTTCCCATTCTTCTTTTTCTTCCAGTCCATTTTTTTCTGTATCGGTCATGTTCCTCTCATTTTCTAATGATTTTCTTATTCTTGGGGAAGCCCTTAAAAAAAAAACAACATACAGATCTCAGGACTTTTTATTTTCCTCCTCATGGCTGCCGAAACACAGGCAAGCAAAGGATGCAAACACAGTGTAACACTTTTTTAACTTCCTCCACAACACATCGGACTTTCTATCACCATATTACCTATCTATTGTTTTTCACCATTGCCGCGTTTCCAGGACTCCTTGTGATGGAAACAGAGAAAAAAGAAAAAAAACTGTGAACACAACAAACCTTAGACAACCAAGAAGGCTGCTTATGCTCAACCTCCTCAAGACTTGTCCCTCCTCTTCTACCCACCAATCTGCATTTCCACATTTCTGTGCTTTTTTTTTTTTTTTTCTCCCAGTGAAATCTTGTTACTCAGATAGTGGCCTTTTTGTATGTGGCCTATAAACAAAGAGAAGTGTCTATCAGCGCTTATACTAATTTCCTTTTGAACAATGACTTAATCAGTTTGGAACGGTGGGATGACTTGCAAAGACTTGATCCTAGAACAAACATCTATTCCTAGAGGAATTTTTGTTTTCTTTTTGTTTTTGTTGTTGTTTTGTTGTTTTTTCCTTCGGTTCTGCAGAATTCCAAACTACACACAGATTCATCGGGTGTTTGGTGAATAGTTTTTAATTTATTTGCTTTTATTGTTATTTTCTCTTCTCTTTTCTTCTTTTCTTTCTCAGTTTTATTTCGGTGTCCTCTCTATATGGCTGAAGGATATTTAAACAGTTAAGAATTGGACAAAAGAGTTCCTCAGACTGACCAATAGCTGCTGCTTTGATATATTTTAGTGGGTATAGAAATATATAAATATATATAATATATATATAGTATATATGGAATATTGGTATTTTTGTACCAATATTTTATATATAATATATGACATATTGATGTTTTTGTAAATAGTTCATATTTGTAATATTTTTCATCAGAAGCTTTGCTAGCATTTTGTTTTGCCAGGTTTTTTCTTTCTGGGTTTTTTAATTTTCTTATTTTTATAGCCCCAGAAATCACACTAATCTACCATCAGTGCTCTCTGTCTTAGGCCTCCAGTCCCCTCCCCCCCTTTTGAGTACACTCTCTGTCCGTCTGGATGGGAAAGCCCTGAAATATTGTCAACTCACTGCATAATTTTTTTATAAACCTCGTGCCCTCTGACAGCTGTCAATATTTGGAGGCAACTTTGCTACAACAACAGGGGGAAACAATGAAACAAAAATAAAAAATAAACGTAATAACCAAAAAAAAAAGCTTTATAAAAGGGGGATGAGGTCTTTTCTAGGTGGAAGTGCACCTGATGTGTGTTTGTCTCCGTGTCTGCTGTCTCTCTCTGGTCAGATCACGCCGGAGCTGAGGTCTTCATGTTATCCAAGGGTTTATCATGTCTTTCACGTGACTGTGCCAGTTGTCCAAGTCGTCGTTAACTGTCAGTTAGGTTAGAGAGTGTCGAGAGCTTGTCCTTGCCTGGTGACAGTACTTCCTTGTGTTAGCGTAACAGTAATGGCTTTTCAGTTGTGTCTGTGCTGCTTGGATGAGGGCGAGGTGGGGAATTAACACCAGCTCTCAGCCAAATGCAGGTGAAAGAGGTCCTTTTAAAAAAAAAAAAAAAAATAAAAATATTTTTTATCTTTAGCACTAAAAGCCCTCATAATTTACATCAGAGCACAGTAGCATCCCCATGTGACCTGAGATCTGGCACAGTTCAAGACCCTCAGTGTTAGATGGAAGGTTTTATTAAATTCACACGTTACAATCTCGTTGTCGTTCTGTTAGGTTGGCTCGGCAGCACGCGCACCTCCTGCACGCTCTCTCCCTCCTCAGTCTTCCTGAGGCTTCCCATTGGCTGCTGAACTCATTGCTCAAAATCAGGCTGTTGGAAATTTCCACGTTTTGTGGTGGAGGGTTGGAGAGAAGTGCGGAAAGTTCCAACTGTATTCAGAGTCCACAGCAGGTAGTGGAGAGAGGGGCAGTCTCTCTATCTTTCAGTGTGTCTGAGAGAGAGAGAGAGAGAGCGAGAGAGAGAGTGTGAGTGATTGTTAATCCTATTATTCTCTCTGATATCACATGCAGTTAGGCAGTCAGGACACAGTGTGCAGCAGCTATTTCACTCAGGTCTGACATTCCAGGATTTAGTTGGAACTGCTCGTTCCCTCGTCCCCCGTGTTGCTTTGCCTGCTGGCAAAGCCGATACCATCACCACACCCTTCAGATTCAGAAAAAACACATGAAAGACTTTCTTATTTTCCTTCTTAATAATCGAATATCTGAAGTTTGTCCCTCCTGCCGGGAATCAAAAACATTCCTGTCAACTGTACCCTCACACAGAGCTACGGAAAAGTTGTTGCTGACACGTCATTGCGATCATTAATTCAGTATGACCTTCGTTCGGCCGTCAGAGTTTCACAGCAGATCCTCGTATACGCTCGTCTCTCGCTCTCTCACCACAGCGGTTCGATGACACAGGAGGTGATAGTCGTCAGACAAGCGTCTTTTTCTTTTCTTTTCTGGACACACAGACTAGTGTGGTTGCCAATCTTTCTAGCCGAACAGCATTCAGCACTTACAGTATAGCCAAAGTGTTGGCAGCTTTCTGCCAACAGTGAGAACCCACAGAATCAGAGTCAGAGAAAGCAGAGAAGCTGCCTCCATATTATACCAGTGCCTTTTCAAACCCAGAGCCACGTCCAGGCTAGTTATATTGGCTAGTGACACACACACACACACACACACACACACACACACACACACACACACACACACACACACACACACACACACACACACACACACAGAGAGAGACACACACACACACACATAGGCCTCTGTGCTCTCTCTGTATTTTGTCTCATGAGGCTGGAGATGCCTAGAAATTGAAGCTACATTTGTGTTTGTAGGGTTAGAACTTTGCTGGAAGAGAAGAAATAGAAATCATCGGGGCAGTTTTTATTTTTTTTTATCATTTCAGCTTGTTGCCAGCGTTAAGGTTTGAACAGTAATGTTCACCTAGTGCTTTAGCGGTGACACTGTGGATTGGCCAGAGTCTGTGCTGTTGGAACTCAGAGGCGCCTGAGGATATGATGTAGATTTTAGCTAATTATTCTGAGGAGTTACAATCTTGGGCTTTTGTACTTTGTAAATAATCTGTGACATAGTTTGGAAGATAAAAACAGAAAAAAGATATATAAAAAAATCTGATGCCCGTCAGTTTTGCGTACATGACAGAAAAATGGTGGACCTTAGCTGTGTCACAATTCCAAACTATATACTAATACTACATTCTTATCTTAATAGTATGCTGCTTTGGCAGTCAGTACACTTTTTCCAGTACAAACACACTACATACTCAAAACCCAGTTGAAAAAGTATGTACTATGGAAGTGGGACATAGCTCTTGTCTCCACCTTGACCTAGGTTGCTTATCTTGTGGTGGTGTTCACACGCATATGCAATTTTTAATTAAGATGGTGCCCATATCTTTGAAATACCAGATATTTATTTTATTATGATCATTGTCATTGTATAAGAAGAACACAGTTAGCTTTTTATTCGAGCATTTTTAAGGTGTTTGAGAGTGGAGCGATGTAAAAGCCTAGTTTGTTATTGTACAGGTGGAGTAGCTGGTGGTGAGCAGCAGGAGTGCTAGTTAGTTAGTTAGTTAGTTAGTTAGTTAGTAAGCAATTGTTGTCGTCTTTGTGTTTGGCCAGAGTCTACCTCAGTGCATATGGAGGAATCAGTCTAAAGAGCCTAAATCATCCCTGTCAGTCACTCAGTATCCCATAATTTCAAATAATATCACTTTATCATACATTACCAACACTGCTGATGAATTCCTTTCCCTTGTGGTGCATTAAACTCCCTCAGCCACCTTGTTTTCTCAGTTTTCTCTTCTTCTTATTTCCTGGGGGAAGCTGTCATCGGCCCTTGGCTTGTCACAAATGTCTTGATTTTCGAGCTCATTTCCAGTCATTGGTGTAGAGTTTAGGAACAAGTATTATCCCTGTCCTATATTTTTTACTTTTTACTTACTAAATGTGGAACATCAGGCAGTAAATTGACTTTATGGACAGTATTTTCTTTTTCATTGTTGCTATAGTTTATAAAAAGTAGACATAAGAAGCTTCCCCCAGGTGCTGGAAGAAGCGGTGTAGCTTTATTGTGTGTATCCCCCTTTTTGATATACACTAATTCTCTGGACTGTATGTAGTAGAGGCTCTACTGGTTTCTGGGGATGTGACATTAGCATGAGTAAACTGACTCCCAGTGCATATCTGTGATTATCTACAGCCAAGGCTAACCAAGCTCAGCCCTGGAACCTCATGCTTTTTTAAATCACATCTAGACTAAACCTGTTGTCAGGCAGAAAACCGTACTCTTCTTCTTCAGTCCGTCTCTTTTGTGGTCAAAACAGTTGTTCAAATCCCACGTCTCCTCCAGTCGTCGGTTTATTTGTCTGTTTCTCTGTTCTGAATTTTGTTTTTGTATGTATATTTTTTCTACTGTGAATATCAAGAGATAACCTTTTATTTTCTGTCAATGCCATGGATTGGGTCTGTTTTGGCTGATCAGGACACTGATGTCTGGGCTGGTTAAAAAGTTTTAAAGAGGAGGACCCCCTTCTCTCCTCTGCAAAGGAAAAAAAAAAAAGCTGGACTGGGACAATCCTGTGTGCCATAATAACTATTAACAGACATGAAATCTAGATTGTAACTTTTCGTCTCAGGGAGGCGGCCTGATGCTTTGTGGTTGGAAGATAAAGAGGAGGGAAAAGAGCTACCTACCTACCTTTTATCTACTCTGACTGAAGCGCAAGTTCTCAGCAGCCTTGCAAAAAGCAAAATGGAGATAATAAGCCCAAGGACACGTTTTCAACAACAAAAACCCAAACAAACATCTCTCTGCCCTTTTGAAGATAATCAGGAATCCTCCTCTCTCTCTCTCTCTCTCTCTCTCTCTCTCTCTCTCTCTCTCTCTCTCTCTCTCTCTTGCGGTGGTCTGGACTGCCTTCTAGCGGTTGGACGGGAGCGTTGCAGGTTAGGGTGCCGAAGCAAACAGGGCCTCGACCCATAGTGCCTTGCTCAGACTAACGGCCCACCTGACCTCTCCCACCCAGTCCAATGAAAACACGGGAATTATGTTTATCTGCATTCTGTGTTCTTTAGTTGTAACTGCTGAGAAAAAAACATTCAAACTGCTTGGTCGGAAAATACTTTAATTTGGATTATATGACAAATGATTTTTACCAAAAAAACAAAAAAAAAAAAGAAAATGTTGAACTTGTGTCTCTACTCTGCTAAGCTCTGGCTTGCTTTGTGCATGGAAAATGAATTACCAATACCAGCGGGATAGCTTGATAATTTGATGCTCACTGATTTTGCTTCTCATCAGTCTGGTTTGACAGCGACGCCCCAAAGCACATGCAAAAGCTCATGATTAGCAACAAGTGATTGCATTACAATGGGGGAGTTTCCATTTGAAATGCATCCAGTTGTTCCATGATTTTCAAGAAATGAACTGATTAATAAGCCCCACCCCCCACCCCCCCCGGACCCCCCAAAAATGAAAGCACTTGACTTTAGGGAAGTTTAGGTTTGTTTTGTTGAACTCTGATGACCTAAAAAGCGGTTGGACAGAGCATGCTAGTAACACAGCGCAGGGTGAGAACAAAGCATTGTATGTATTTTTTGTTTTGTTTTAAAGAAAAGAAAAAAGTATTACATTTTAGAGATGTTGATTTCTATTTTTTTTAGCCAAAGTATGGAGGGCAAATACAATTACTTTTTCTGACTGTAAACTTTTACTACTCTTGTACATTATGAATTTAACATTGTTATCAATGTGTATATAACTTTTTTTCTAAATTTAAAAAGATAGATGTTTTTGTTTAGTTTTTTGTTGTTTTTCATGACACAACCCACTACACAGAAAAGAGCAGAGTCGAGTCTGTCAATGTATTTAACAGGAGCAGCACAACTCCAGTCTGAGGGCTTAACCCTGCGTAACAAGACATAAACAGTATGTGGCCTGAAACGTTTCGCAACGAACCCTGCTCTTAATCCAGTGCATGTTCTGAATGTTGGCCGACAAGTCGTCATGCATTTCAACCACCCCACCCATCCACAGCAGCATGTCACCCATAAAGCCTTTTCTTGTGTCACAAATATGTCACGTATCACAGATGTTGTTGTATGAAATTGTTTCTGACAAGAGACGTGTGTTTAGTTTGCAAATGTGTTATTTTTTTTATTTTTTTTGTCATGTGAAAAACTGGAAAAGACCACTGCACATCCTTTTGAAGAAGAGGAAACATGAGTGATAAAATCCTGAATAAGCTAAAAAAAAAAAAAAGAAGAAAACTTTACTGATGGTTCAACAACCATACATCTTTAAGTTTAGACTGTAAAGCTGAAGGTGTTAATAGGAATCGTTACGTTTGGGGGGAAACGGGCTCATTAGCTTTGTTGCCGAGACTTAGATGAGGAGATTGATACAACTGAAACTGCAGCCAGCGTCCTGTTAGCTTAGCATAAAGAACAGAAACAAGGGGAAGTGGATAGCCTGGCTCTGTCCAGCGGTAACAAAATCCACCTACTGGCACCTGTAAATCTTAAATTTTCTTAAATGTTAACACATTATATGTCATTTGTATGTGATATGTTATTTAATCTGTGGTGTAAAAACAACAATTTTCTGTTTTATGGAAGGTTTTGCACTGATATATACACTTGTATATCTGTATGTGGATTATTTGCAAGACCATTTCTTGACTGGGACCAGTAACTTCCGGGAGTTTCCTGGAGTGTTGTTGCCTGGCAACGGGTCCTGGCTAAGAAATAGTCTTAAACTTTTAAACTTTGAGTTTTTCATATAGATTAAACAAATGAGATATAAGTTAATAAGTGAGCTCTAGAGGTGTCGGTACGCAGATGTTGTTAGCCTCCGACAGAGCCAGTCTGTGCTAAGCTAAGCTAACCAGCCGATGGATGGATGTGTAACGGACATCTCATCTGACGCTCTGGAAGTGAGTGAACGAGCGTTTTTCCACACAGTGTCGGAACTATTCCTTTTCAGGATGCTCAGCATAAAGGTGAAACACCTTCAGCTATAAAATAATTAAGTACTGTCTGTCAGTAGTGTGATGATGACCTGTTCATATTTGTGTTATTGATTAGGGAGAGATATGCCATTGTTTAAAGATAGACAGTGGGGGCATTGCAGGTGTGGTGACCCTGTTTGTTAGATGACAAATCTGAGGAAAAAAGCAGCCTCTTCTTAACTTTTTAAGAGTCATCTGTCGGTCCAGTGGTCTGCTCCAGTTTACACACCAATACCTTATATTTATCTCTGTCCTGTTCCCTGTGCTGTACGTTGTTTAAATCAATGGAGTTTTGTCTGTGTTGTCCTTGGTTGAAGTCTTTACCACAGCTTTCCTCTCCTCCTCTCTGTCTCCTTCGAGTCTCTTTCTCTCCTCAGTGCACATAGGTGGTCCCCAGAATGCTGTGTGTAGTCTTGCAGGATACCTCTTTTTATTAATGTCATTTATTGCCGATGAATATGCTGATGTATTAATTTTGGGATATGTTGTGTATACATTATGTTGAGACATCGGTGCGTATGCAGACAGCAGGTGTATATGTATGTGTGTATGTACAGTCCAAAAAAAACCCCAAACCCCCCCGCAACCCACAGAGATCGCTTCATCCCTCACACTGGATCCAAATGTGCCATTATCTTTATGTATCACATATATCAACATATTGAACACACACACTCACACATACACACACAGACAGACATACATGCATATTGTACAGGATCAAAAATGTGCCATGACTAAATGAACGCTTGACAATTTATTTTTTCTATGTTTTCAAAGGAGAGCCAAGTAGTGACATGTACAGAAAATGTTGCAATGATATGAAAATAAAAATCTTGCTGTGTGTAAATTATTCAACAATTAACTGTTTATATTAAAATTATGAATAAAATTATTGGAGAATATGTGTCTTCTCGTACTTCTTAACCATGGACTGAGGCTTAACTTGACTTTACATTTTATGCTACTAAATACTTTTACTCCACTACATTTGTTAAACAGCTGTAGTTACTGTTTTATATATCTATGTATTTACCATCAATTCTATTTATTGCAGAATAAATTCAGGGCTCTCTTTCATTCATTGTAAGCCCTAACCACCCTCACTGCTTGTGAACTGAAAACACCAGGCCTTGCAGCCCATCCTCCACAGCCTCAGCTTTCATTCACACACACCGCTGTAAGTCCTCAGTAAACGTTGATGAGCAGTGGTACAGCGTGACTTGGGTGAAGGTTATGCTCTGACTGAAACCACTATAGACGCAGCTAGTTTCTCCTAACCCAGTTACTCAAGGATGTGCAGGGGAGCATAGAAATGCAAAACATGAAGATGCAGCACATGAGCCCTAGAGATAACACTGCCACTCAGTGATGGGCTGTGTGCACTAATGTCCAATCATGTATGCATTGCTTTTAGTTTTAATTTAGTTCAGTAGTAGGCCCTACCTGGGCCTGATCTTAAAACTGTAGTTACAGTTCTACAGTGCTGTTCGTACTATCAAGTGTGTGAGCTCTCACAGCGACGGCAATGTGTGAAACTGTACGTGTGGGCCATTCAGCTGCACTTTGTTCTCAGCTGCACAGAATGAGAAAAAGAAAAGAGGAAGCAGGGTTGAGATCCTGCGGCTGGCTCTCTGCAGTCGGTGTGAGGACGAATCTGACGTTCACGCAGAACACAGTCAGACCTGAAGGACTTTAAACCACCTTCTCTCCTCTCTCTGGCTTGTTTTTTTTTATTTTTTTGGTGAACATATATGATTTACAGGCTCCCATCTGTTACTTCTCATCAAAAGTGAGTAGAGTTTACATTGCTTTTCAGCGAGTTTTCACTTTCAAAAGCTGGTCTGCACACTGGGGTCCCATTTATTACTTGCATTTTGTAGTTATGCATTGTTTGAGGTGTGAGTTAATTCTGCTTTAATACATTTCTACTTGCGTTCTATGTGCCAGTCCTCTGCTCTCCTCTTATCTGTGGGAAAGTAAGGAGACTTTTCCACTTGATGTGCAGTGAGCTGAACTTGACAGTCATCCGTAGTTACACTGGTGCAAATTATGAAGCACAATGGTTGCAACAATTGTCAGGCTCAGTGTCTACGAGCCGCTGCAGTTAGAAACACGTTCTCTTCTGTACCCTGAAAGTTCCTCTGCAGTTTCTGTTAGCATTTTAAAAAGACACCATTTGCATTACTTCTTCACAGAGGATGTGGTGGGTCATGGCCCTGTGACTCAGAATCAGAAAAAAAAATTGCATGTATCATTGCCATATACTTTCATTGCGTATACTTCCTTCTCTTTTTCTGTGTTCTGCCCTATTCCTTAAAACAATGACAACTTTTTTTCTTCTGGAACAGTTAAACATGCATTTTCAAGGCATTTCCCTAATTTTTGCTTGTTGAGAGACAATTAAAATACGCATTACCTCCCTTCACTACCCTTGCCACCCAACCAGCAGTGGTGGAGGAAGTACTCAATACTTAGACTTTATTAAAAGTGCCAGTAGAACAATGTAAAAATACTTGGGACCCTCCAATGGGTCACAAGATAAATCCGGGGACTTGTGAGATGATTAATGGGGTAGGAAAGTTCTGCTACACATTTTTTTTTCTTTTTTTTTCCTAATCTTTGCTTTGTGAAATATTGAATGATTTGACCTCTTTTGATCAGTGAGTCAAGTGAAATAATGTGAAACAGGGTTAGAGGGGAAATGTCTTTCGTGGAATGACTTTAACAACTTGTACACATCTATCCACTGGAGGAGTTTTGTGCTGCATTTATGTTTTGTACATAAAGACGATAAATTTGAAAAGTGACAAGTAACTCCAGCTGTCAGATTAATGTAGTGCAGTAACAACGTAGAATATTTCCGTCTGAAATAGAGTAGAAGAATCAAGTAGCATAAAATGGAAATACCTTGTAAAGTACCTTGAAATGGTACTTAAGTACAGTACTTGGGTAAGTGTATTTACTTTCCACCACTGCTTATAAAATGTCCACAGAAAAGTTTTTTTTCTGCTTTAACATTTAACCAGAACTGAAGAGAAGCAAAACATATTCTTCCACGCCTCCTTTTCTCTTTCCACTGTCACCTTTTTTTGCTCTCCTGGTCTTTTTCTCTCTCCACTGGAGTCTTTGAGGAGGTAATCCCCAACCAGCAGCTCCCTGTTTCTTGCCTTGGACTCTCTCTCTCTCTCTCTCTCTCTCTCTCGACTCTCCTCCCTCCGTCCCTCCTCTCTCCCCCCTACCCTCTCTTTCTCCTCCCTTCTTCCTGCTGAGTGCCAGAGGAGCTCCAGTGTGAGAGAGCTCCAGTTCCAGCTGGCCTCCCCAGTGTGCTGCTGGTATGGCGGACTCTCCTCTGAACCACTCCTGGCCCTCCTTCTCCAAACTCTGGATGAAGAGATGGTCCTTCAAGAGAGGTATGGGTTGGGGGGGCAGGACCTGGTTTTACATTTAGACTACACTTCAGGCGGTTTGCTGGATGGCACAGAGGGAAGATAGAGAATTTAACAGACATAAAATAAACAATCAACAATTTAACAGACATAAACAATCAAGAATTATTGTTTATTTTATGTCTGTTAAATTGTTGATTGTATATTTTATGTCTGTTAAATTTTTGATTGTTTATTTTATGTCTTGTTGATTGTTTATTTATGTCTGTTAAATTGTTGATTATTTTTATTGCCTGTTTGGACCGTAGGTCCGAGAGGACTGAAATTTCATCTGTGCTGTATGTTGTGCATATAGCATATTTGACAATAAAGCTGACTTGACTTGACTAGAGTGGGTAAAACTGCAAGAAGGGTGGACGTGGCTGTCATCCAGTAGAGGTTGTGGACTGGATGTGACCTTAGGAGGATGTGTTAGCTGTTGTTTACAATTTTGACCCAATTGGGGTTTGTGGTGTGTAACGGTTGCAGTGTACCAGATGAGAACAGAGAGTCATTTCTAACCCTGGTGCACTGTTAATGATGAGAAAAAGTACAAAACTATGAACTATGATTAAAAAGTATTTTCTGATTATCAATTGTAAAATGATCCTTTATACTTTACTATAGTGCTGCCAATGTAACCTGCAGAGTTAACTGCCTAAATTAAGGGTTTTGTTAGATGGTGTTTTGTTTTCAGTTTTTTAAGTATATCCATTAAGAAAACCACCAGAGTCCACAGAGAAAAAGACAAGTAGGGCTTTATACACTCTCCAACAAATTTCTTCTGTTCATCTGTCTCTCATAACTTGCTCTGTAACACACACAACTTGAATCATTTCATGCTCTCTGTTCCCATGGTGTTATCTTCAGAGAAATATGACGTTCTTTTAGACATAAAGAAGCCGCGTAGGACGCTTCCATTTTGCTTCAGCAGTAGTGTCTGTGTAGCACGGCACTTTGAAACAGTAGTCAGATGAATTTCTGATCAAAGAGTATCTGGGAGATGACAGTTGTTTTGATGTGTGCTTCAACCTCAGATCTAACAACCTCTGTGTTCTGTTTTCACCTTCACATAACATCTGTCACACACACACACACACACACACACACACACACACACACACACACACACACACACACACACAGAGAGAGAGAGAGAGACACTCACATGACAGACACACACACACACTTGCACACTAGTCCGGGAATCATCCAGGTACTGAATGGTCACCGTAACCTTAATCCAAACACTGTGTGTCCCAGAAGTAGTCAATAATATATTTATGTAAGATGAGTTACAAGTGTGATTTTTACTTTGTCGTCTGTGGTTTCTGTAGTTGGGTAATATATGTGCTCATTTTTTTGTGTGTGTGTGTGTGTGTGTGTGTGTGTGTGTGTGTGTGTGTGTGTGTGTGTGTGTGTGTGTGTGTGTGTCATCATAATGATACTGTTTATTGTACCAGTGTCTCTGTTGAAAGAAGCTGCATTTGCAATAACTCATCATGCACATTGTGAATAATCAACTGAGAGGTTCATATGATGCCTGAGTTCCTCTTGTGATTGTCACGTCGCTTTGCAAACGTACAGTAAGCTTTGTGGTGAACACGTGCACTCATTTCCTTTATGTCATATTTGGTTAAATCTCTTCCTTCTCTCAAAGCTAATCAAAATACTAAAAACAAACTTATATACTGTGGCACACAAGTTTGTCATTTAAGTTGTGTTTAATTTGCTTGAATTACTGTTCTTCAGTTGTTTTTACAAAATACTAAACATGATGAATCATTCTGAGAAATTAAATATGAGCACCTCTAGAGCATTTATTACTAACTTTCTCAGAAGACCAATCGTCACAAACATAATGTTTTAATGTTTTCCACTAAAAAACTGCTTAAGTTGCACAAACTCTGTATACTGCTTTATTTATTGTAAGGCATTTTTAAAGCTAAGTAAAGTCAATTTTATTTAAAAACATCAAAACTTTATCTCAGAGGACTTTACAATCTATCCTTAGACCTTTGATTTGGAAGTAAAAAGTTAAAGTTAACGAGGGGAAAAATGTGAGAAACCTCAAGAGGAGCAAAAAAAAAAAAGAGGGATCCCTCTTCTAAGACTGAGCGACAGGCTGTGTGCCACATGTACAGACTAGACAGAATTTACTGGAGTGCAATTACAATGTAGAGAAAAGAAGAATAATATTAAACTGATAAATAAAAGTAATATAAAGTACATAAAGTATTATACTGAGTAAGCATTAAATAATAATGAAGAGTTTTGCACAAGGTGTTAATGTAATGTGGTGATTTATTAGTTGATAATAGTCAAACAATAGTTTTAGTAGCAGACCACCCTTTGTCATGTGGAGCCAAACTGTGGGGAAAACAGCTGACTATGACGGTGCCAAAACGATTAGGGAGACACCTGAACACACACTTTCAAGCACACACATTGATTTTTCATCCTTGTGTGATGCATTAGCAGATATGAGAGGCCAACCATAAAAGGCTACAGCGGCACTACAAGACAGCATCAAGCAGCCGCTGCGGTGTCTGTACCGAGTGTCTAAGTTTACACTTAACACGAGTGGGATTTGGACGCAAACAAATTCTCCATCCAGCAGGGACACTGCCATCCCCGCAGCCTCAGGCAGTGATTTAGTAATATAGAAAATAGATCAACAGTGTGTCTATGTGTGTTTATGTGAGAGCATCTCTGGCTGTCGCGCTGAAGAGGGGACTGGATGCTGCTGGTTTATAGCAGGACGTGGTGTAAGACTAAGTGTAGCCAGTCTGTATTTTATCTCACCATACAACACTACCTGAGGTCTCCTATATATCACAACAACCTGCCAGAGAGTGAGCCACACACACACACACACACACACACACACACACACACACACACACACACACACACACACACACACACACACATATATTATTAGAATTGTCTGCAAGAAGAAGCTGAAGTGGAATAAATGTGCTCAGAATTTTGGAAGGAATTTAATCTATGCTGTGATGTAAAGTGTCTCAGATATAAGTCCCTCTCCACTCAAAAATATGCTTTTCTTCTTGTTCCTACAGTCGGATGTTTGAGCTTCACTGTGCAGATTGATGTATGTGCAGAGTTTGACGTTAGAAGGATGTTTTCACATTCATCTGAAAGTGGAAAGTTTCTCTGTTCTTATTGAAAAGCATGATTTGTGATATCTATAATAGTTTTGAAGGTTTGAAGTGTGATGTAGAAACTTGAAGCCTCCGGTGCACACTCACTGAGAATGGGCTTTACAGTGACGTAGGAGACATCTTGTGCTCAGCAGGAACACTTTAGAAATGAACAAATTTAGCATATTTATAGATTCCTGATTTTTTAATGAGGTAGAAGGAATAAATGCCTTTTTAAGGATTTAAATGTGGAAACTGTTTTTTGTGGAAAAAAACTAAACCAGACACACATTATTGTTCCAGACTATTTGTATATGTTTTAATACATGTCTGCAGGGGATCTTTATATATCTTAGCAACATAGATACTGATGCCTTCTGGATGTCAGTGATGACCATCTGAGCTTTTCATATAACTCACAGTGGTGAGTGATAATGTTCTATGGTTTAAAGGTAGCGGCAGCAACATACAGGATATACCCATAGTCCAATGTATCCAATTATGGTATATAATATATTTTTCTTTTTTAAAAAGGCGTCAAACATATCAAATGTAATGTGAAAAAGGTTCTTCCACAAAGGCATTTTAGCACCTTTTAGCACATTTACTGTTTCTGAGCTCTCATCAACCTGGTTTCCAGCAGCAGTAGGCAGCTGTTTCTAGGGAAATAATGCCTGATTGGCCCATTGTACACTACCTGTCCAGCACCAAACAGCAGACACACACAGTTAATGGCACCAAGAACTTTATATTTCAATATTGTGTTTAAAGCTTGTTATGCTACTTCATGGTAAAACTAATACATTAGTGCAGCTTTAAAGGAGAAAATTAATTAGATTCTCTCAGTTCAATGGTTCTATTCTGTGCTCCACAACATAAAGTGTACTCCTGTTAATGTTTCTGCTTTATAATCCAGAGACTCTATATAATATATAATATATGATACCTGTTTACGTGGTCATATTGAATCAGAAAGTTAACCTTGTACAGGGGAACAGAAACAGGGCAAATCTATTCAAGGAGAATTGAGTCAGCCTCTGTGGAGCCAGGCTGGCTTAGGCTAAGGCTCAGGTTCACAGGAGGCGTCCCTTATGAAATGAGGCTTATGTAACCTGTCGTAGCTGTGGCTCTCCCCTCCTCAGATGGGCATGGTGTGGCTGAAACCCTAACAGTGAACATGACATAATCAGACGTCTTAACAGACTGTTCAGACACCATGAGACACTGACACGTTTACAATTACACACTTTTTTATCTCAAATATGTGATATCAAACTCCATAGTTGCCTCTGTATGTACATTTCCCTCATATAGCCTGTACTTACTGTGATATAATACATTATTTACCACGGGCAAGCGGCTTCACAGGCCAATGAAAGCTTAGTGAGGGAATAATCTCCAGCTCTCCACCACTGACATGGAGACTAATGCTGGCTGGCCAAGCAGTTTGCAGTGGTGACAGTGGTTTGTGGCAACATGTGAATCCAGGAATCTGTTTATGCAATGGAAACGTAAAGGAGCTTTGAGAGAGAGGCTGCAGCAGGGGTTGTAACTGAGGTTTTCTTCATACAACAAATTGATTACACAGGTGTTGTGCAGCTGTTGAAATCAGCTACGTCTGCCTTTTCTTTGTGTTCTTTTTCTCCTCATGGTCCTGGTGAAGTTATTAGATTTTTGGGAAACGTTTATAACTCACAAAACCCACATTCATTATCTTTCAGCATCAGAGTGCAAGCCATGTAGTCAGCCCTGTGGGCCTCCCAGTGCCCAGCTCAGTGTCCAGCCTTATGTTCCCAGTGGGACAGGATCTTCCTCCTCACTATCCCCTGCCTCAGTTGCTGAGGACGTCTTCTTCGGTAGCACCAATGAAGACCAGGTAAAGCTCTATATTCTTCACTTGAATCATCTTTCTTTCTTTTTTCCCTTCCTTTTTTAGCCATGCTAGTGTCATGGCTCAACTATTGGATGGATTGAGATTTTGTACAGAGGTTAATCGCTCCCAGATGATGACTCCTCATTACTTTTGTGATCCCCTGTCTTTTCATTTAGCGCCGCCATGAGATTAACATTTTTGTTTTTTATAGAAAATTAATCCATTACTATTGTGTGAAGTGTTGCCATAAAATTTGCTTCAGACATTCATATCCCCAGAGGATGAAATGTAATAACTTTGATCCTTTAACCTTTCATCTAGTGCGACCATAAGGTCAAATTTCACTTTTCCTAACACTTTAGTTTATGACCAAATAAAACTAATAACATTTCCATATTTTTGCATTTCATGTTTAGAGCTAATTAAACTAAAATATTAGCACGCTAACCCTCTTAAAAAGGATGACAAACATGGTAAATGTTATACCTGCTGAAGATTAGCACGTTAGCATTGTCACTGAGCATACTGATATAAGCATTAAGCTCAAAAAGCGTGAATACAACCTCACAGAGCTGCTAGTTTTGGGTTACTTTAATTTTAGATTGCAGCTGATGTTCAGAATATCTTGTTTATTTCCTCTCTGTTCTCCGTGTCAACCCTCTTTCTCCTCTCTCCCCTCTGTTTTTCTTGGCTCCATGTCGGCTCCTTTCTGCTTCCTCGCCTCCCTTGCTGAGTGGCAGGATGCGTGTTCAGTAGTCAGTGACTACGACTGCCCCTGTGCGGAGGTGAGCAACAGTTTGGAGGACCTGCTGGGCCTCAGCTCTTCTCTCAGAGACTCTGAGTACTTTAAAGACCTGGAAGAGGGGATACTGGCATCACAGTCTACTGCATCCACGGTCCCAGCGAGCAATACCTTAACTGCTGGCCTACAGGTGTCCCTAAACACAGACAGTCCCGCCACCAACCCCGCTGTACAGACTTCTTGGACCACACACTCCCTTCAGGTCAATGCATCATCTCCCCCCTACTATAAACACCCTGCAGAGGAACACCATCACAACTTTGTAGTCACTCAGCTTAGTCCTAAGTTACTGCCAGGTTGTATCATTGACAGTGGTGACTCCTCTGGCCCTGCAGTAGGGTTTAGCTTGACAATTAATCTGAATGGACTGTTGGGATCAATGGAAACAACAAAAGGAATAACAGAACCAGAGGAAGTAATGGAGCAACCCACAATGGATTCAGAGGGAGAGCCTGACCTGGACAGCTTTCCTACTCTGGTCAGATCCATGTCAACGTCTCGGAGGCACAGCTGGGGTGTCCCTGTGTCCCCCATTAACCTGGGGAGGAGGTAAGACGGATGGATGGTTGGAATTAGAGAGAGCAATGTCTTAAGGACGAATATAATTACACCCAAACTGCACTTGTCTCATGAGTCATATCTAAAGTCCTTCATATGTCTTTACCTCTATATGCCTCTAACTTTTCGTTTCGGCATCACTGACATTGCTCACCGTCACTCTCAAAAGCATAACTGTGCTATTTAACTGGGCTCTGTGTTTCAAGTGGTTTAGTTGGTTGTTCACAGCTTCTAAATAAAGCAGTCAAGGCTTCTTTGGGGTGAGAACATGAGCAGTGCACCAAAATACTTACAGCACAAAAATATAGCATAATATCATAACTTAGACTTAGACTTAGACTTTGACAGTCTTTTTGTTTGTCATTTGGATTTGCATCAAAATAAAATTACATTGCAATGGCACATAGCACAACAGGAATAAAGGTGAGGCAGTATGTACAGTCTAAAAATAGATATGCAAATATAAAAGGGAGAGAAAAAAATTTTATATAAAAAAAACTGTAAGATAATAAATATTGCAGTGTAGTTGCCTATGTAAAAGAAGCTTTTGTATATTATACAAATAAGTAACATAACATGTCTCACTCAAAATTTTTTTTTTGGGTAATATATTCATTTCATGGTCTGGTTAACCCTCTGCTGTGTTGTGTGTGTGTGTGTGTGTGTGTGTGTGTGTGTGTGTGTGTGTGTGTGTGTGTGTGTGTGTGTGTGTGTGTGTTTGCTGTGCTGCCAGACTGAGTCTGGATACCATGAACATGGACAGCGATGGAGAGAGAGACGATGATGAGGAGGGACAAAAAAGTCTCTTCCAGTCCACCCAACAGCAGACCTACAGCTGCACAGCATGTCCTGGAGATGAGACAGATGGTCCCAGGCTGATCCCCTGTCCCAGAGCCAGAGTCACTAGCATGGTAAATAAGTAACGGTGAATGGTGTGTCACCATTACTTATTATTGTCAACAAGTCTTATCTCAAGACCAAAGCCAAAAGTTGTCAGTTCCTCAATACTTTCAGACTTCCTTTCATCTGTCTGTGGTTCAGCTCCATACCTGATGGTTTCAAACTGTCTTGGTTTGTTCAAAAGTACAAACATTATTTACTCAAGTAGAAGCACAGATACTTGTGTAAAAAAATATATATCAGAAAAGTAAATACTCAAGAAAAGTACAGATACTGGGAAAAAACTACTTCCCCTGTTTGTTTCCACTGAAGACAGAACTATTTTCTGCTGCGGATTAATACACATTTGGTGCTCTGGGAGTTTTTTTGCACTTTTTTATAGCAGCAGGAGGGTGTATGTGGGAGTGGCTCACAGTGTGTCTGTGTTCATGGTAATGTAGTGTGGCTCATTTATGTGTTTTAATAGTTTTATTACAAAAGTGGAGCTCTGTGCTATAGAGGAATAAGATCAGACTTTGGGCTACGAAGATAATACAGATAGATTCATTGTGGTGATCCTTTAAAGGTCCAGTGTGTAACATTTAGGGGGCTCTATTGGCAGAAATGGAATATAATATTCATAGGTATTTCTTTATTAGTGTGTGTGTAGTAAAAATCTTGATATAAGCATCCTTATGTTTGTGTTACCTTACAATGGGCCTTTCATGGAGTTCACCATGTTTCTAGTCCAGAAAGGACAAACAAACCACTGGTTTTTTTATAAGTTACCTTTTTGGCCTTTTATTGGCTTTTTTATTTGATAGATACAGCTGAAGATAGACAGGAAAGGGGAGTAGAGAGAGGGGACTACATGCAGCAGAGAGCTGCAGGTCGGATTTGAACCCTGGGCCGCTGCAGCAAGGACTCAGCCTCGGTACATGGGTCGCCAGCTCTACCCACTGAGCTAACCGGGCACCCACACTGGTTTTCTTTTTTAGGTTTTTTTGTCGTGGCCACCATAGTTTCTCGTACATACTTCACAGCCCATTCTCACTTCCAGGTTGTCAAATACAGACACGAGCAGTGTTCAGTTAGTTGCAATCTGCCACTTCACCACTAGATGCCACTAAATCCTACACACTGGTCCTTTAAGGGAATAAGGCTTATGTTTGGCTGAAACTGGATATTTGACACTAAATAGCAAAACAGAATCTTTAAATGTGTTTCATTTGTGGTATAATGACAAAACAAAACTGTCTGAAGTGACTAAATATAAATTGCCAACTTATAAAGGCCACTGTAAGTAAAATGTGTCATTTTAAGTATGTTAGATAGAGGAGGTAAAACAGAACAAATGTGCACGTGATGTACATGTGTGTTTATTCTTCAGGCTGGCGGTGTGCCTGGCAGGCATCTGTACTCCCGCTCAGAGATCCTAGCCACGGACGAGTGTTCCCGTGCCGCACACATTTCTCGTGTTGTACAGACATCCAAACAGGCCGCACGGGCAGCAGGAGGTGGGTCTGAGTGTTTGAACATGTGGAGTACGTGTTAGTTTGTGTGTTTTACAAACAGCAGGAAGCTGCTTTCATCATTTTTTACCTTTTTGTCTTTCTTTTCTGCAGCTGAGGAGTTCGACCCTGAAGAAAACCTACATTGTACTGAGGGACATATGTAAGTCTACACTGTCATCAGTTACATCTGCAACTTACGTTAGCTCACACTGGTGGAATATCTATTTCCTTTCCAGAAGCTGCTTCAGTCTGAGTGGCAGCTCAGGTTTAATGATGCTTGGAAGAAAAAAAAAGATGATACTCCTCTGGTTTGATTCACAGGAGGCAAATGTTGATCACTTGTGTCCTGTAAACTATACCTGCAGCTTTTGAATGGCCGTGTACAATAGTTCACATACTGTTCTGTGGTTGTAAATCGTTATAGTCTGGTACAGTTGTCGAACTCCCACATAACAGGGGGGCTTTCCCCATTCCCTCCTGACATTTCTGCTCCATGTCATATGTCTGCAACCTCCTCCTCCCACAGTCCTCTCTTCCAGCTCCTTAGATGGCCCCTTAGTGTGTGTGTGTGTGTGTGTGTGTGTGTGTGTGTGTGTGTGTGATCGAGCGTGCGTGTGTGTGTGTGTGTGTGTGTGTGTGTGTGTGTGTAAAGTATATGTGTGCTCTGGCAATTGTGTGGACACAGCAGACAAGGGAGGATTCGTCTCTAAATCGCAGTTTGACACCTAGCTCCCAGCAGTCTCGCCCTCTCCTCTTCTCCTCTCCTCCCCTCCTCTCTCCTTTCCTTTCCTTTCCTTTCCTTTCCTTTCCTCTCCTCTCCTCCCCTCCCCTTTCCTTTCCTCTCTCCTTCTCTCCTTCTCTTCCCTCTCCTCTCCTTTCCTCTCCTCCTCACAGCCCCCACTCAGTCACAGTGTCTTGTTTGTCTTAGGCTGATGGTACAGAAAGTTCTGCAGGAGCTAAAGCTGTACCATGGGTAAGTAAACAGGAGAGGGAGGTCTGCTTGCTCCTACCACTGCTCAAACGCCATCCCAGTGTTGAGAGCAGCAGCAGAGCCAGATTGTGTGCGTACATGTATGTGCATGCATGATTTTGGCATGTGTGTTTGCATGTGTCTGGATGTGCACTGAAACACTCTTCCATAACTGAATTATCCCTGGAAAGGGCTTGTGGATTTTTTTGATGTCACAAAATCATTAATTGGCGTTGAACTCTCTACACTACAACACTAAACCTCTCTTGCAGTAAGTGAGATAAATAAGTGCATTGCTGGCTAAACCCCGATATACTGTCAGATTGTCTTTACTTGTTTCTACACTATTCACTTGTGCTGTGATAAAAGTGTTTACAGTAATATTTGAGTCTCATGCAAAACTGAAATTATTTCATTGTTTCTCCACAGAGCGAAGCAGGGGAACAACAGATCAGACACCAAAGAGACAGGAAATGTCACTTGGTACGAGTTCCTCTCTCATGAGTAAGTATTGTGCCCATCTGTTCCCTTATCACTAAATTGCAGAAATGTTTCACATTCATGAACGTTTTGGAGGAAAATAAAAATTTCCACAGAATTGAGTGCTCAGTAGTTGTTTACTATGTGTCTTGTCTATTTGCATAGAGGTGCTTTATTGGCAATCTATGACAGGAGGTCAAAACCAAGATGGGTAAAACATCAAGTGTCTGTACAGTGAAAGATGATCTTGGTTCTGCAATAATTCAGTTTCTTTTCATGGAAACAATCCAATTAAAATTCTCATCACTGCAGCTTTAACTATTCAACAAAATCAACATTTTTCCATATTCATTTCCTTTGTGTTGACAATCACAGAGCATGACAATTATGATACAAGTCATATAACTTGCACAAGATAAACAATGTGCAATCTCTAAATGATTATTAAATATGAGTACAAAATAATTAAATTCAAAACCATAGAGGTGTTTCTGTATGTCTGATTCTCCTTCTTCAACCAGGAATGAGGACGAGGAGGATCGTACAGAGAAGGTGGAGAAAGGCACCAAGGTGAAGAGGACTCTTAGCTCTCTGAGGAACAGGATGACGGGCTCCTTTAATAAAGATAAGGTAAACTGATACCACAGACACATGGTACACAAGGCCACTTTGAACAATATAACATGCTGCCGGAAGGGCAATGCATATAATGACCTATTTAAGCTACTAATTAGCTAAAAATGCTCCATCACATTTTAACTTCCAATGTGAAATCTACCTACACACATCCTGCCTCTGAGGCGGTTATGTGATGTCATTCACACCCATGCAACATGTGCCACACTGAAAGAGAACACACACATTTGCATATAAAAACTCTGTGTTTGTTTTTCTTGTTCCTCTGCAGGGTAAGAACAGAGAAAAAGAGCAGCAGAAAGAAAAGGGGAAGGAGGCCAGAGAGAAAGTGTACGGCAGCAGCAACAGCAGCAGAAGCAGCAGTGGGCATTTTTTGGTGCCAGGGTCTTTCTCCAGCTGTGCCACCTGCTCACTGTGCAGCAAGACCCTGCAGAAAAAGCATGGCCTGCAGTGCATGAGTGAGTAACACCACAGCCACAGGTGTACACGCACCCACGCTTGTTCTCAACCTGACACACGTGCTCCACTCACACACAACCTCACATCTATTTATGCCCCTGCTGTCGCACGTATGCTTACTCACCCACCTTTTGGAACAAACAGAGCCACACACACACACACAACCAGAAACTGTGAAAAATCATAAAGAAAACACTCAAATATTTTTTTTAGTGACTATTTATGTACTTTTAATACACATAATTGTTATGTGGCTGATTACAGCATTAAAAAGACATTAAAACAGGAAGTGTGTCATTTTGTCTTCACAGCTATAATGTAACAACCAAGAAAGTGATGATTACAGTAGATGCTGTTCTTAGTATTGACTGTGGCTTTTTTTTTTTTGCACCTTTCTGCTGAAAAGAAGGTGGTGTTCCCTTTCTCCTTTTTAAAAAGCACTTCATTTTCTGATGCATTTTATACTAACACACACTGACGTGCTCTCTTAACTTTTTTTTACACTGCATCATAACTGTAGGTCCGAGTTTTGCACAACTCTCTCACTTGTTTAGATGTGTTATCTGATGTATTAGCATCTTCTGACAGGTGTTTATGTTACCCTACAGCACGCCTTAACTCTGTTGCTCTGGCTTGAAATATTCTTCACATTTCCTGTGTCTTTTGTGTGTCGGATAAAACTCTTGCATTGAGAAAATAGGCCCTGCTTTGTCTGGAGGCAGCCACAGCTTTGTGTGTCCATTCACGGAGTAAGACCTGTACAGGACATTTCAACACCCTGCGGCTCCCTCTTTCCTGCCGCTCCTATGCCACTCCTATGCAGCCTGCAGGTCAGCTGATAAGCTGGAAACACCTAACGAAAGACACGCCAAACGGTTTGGAAGTAGAGCGCAGTAGAAGTCTGATCCAGGAAGTCAGACTGATAGTAGTTTGAAATAGCAGTAGAGTGATACCTTTTTATTATAAAATATTTTAGAGAAAGAAGGCCACTTATCTATGATATAATCAAAAGAGTTTAAACTGATCAAATGGGTAAAATTGATATTTGCGTATTGTAATTCTTACCACAGATTTTGGTAATAGGTACAATGTCTGAGGTTGTACTAGTTTAGATTAGTTTTGAAACATATATTCACATTTCCTTAAATAGCAACTTTTAAAATATTATATTATCCATTAATCGTCTCCATACTGCACTGACTAAACAATTTTAAAGTTTAATACTATTTTAATTAGTCCATTACTAGTAAAAGTTCTCCATTTAAATGTTTACTTAAGTGAAAGTAGCAAATGTACTTAAAATATCAAAAAGTAAAAGTAAATGCAGTATGTTGGGTGTGAAATGTATCATATATTTGATCATTTAAATATTATTACAGATGCATTAATATGTGTCAGAATTTTAATGTTGAATTACTTTATATACTGCCAGGTTAGGTAGTTTAATCTATAACATCATAAACTGATCATATTTTATATGTAAAATGTAAAGTAACTAGAACCTGCAGCTGTTAGATAAGTGCATTAAAAAGTACAAGTGTGAGTGTAAAGCATAAAGTGGCATAAAATGGAAACAGTACCTCAGAATGTAACCTGAGGATTGTTAATGTACAATGTAATTATATTCCTCCTCTTCTTTCATGTTATTTATTTACTGCACCCAGATACACACAAGAGACAACTTCTGACTTCATCTAATTGGAATAGGAATAAAACAAAATTAGGTCTTTTATCTTTATTAAAATTAAAGCGTCATTCTTGATGATGATATAAAAGTTATAATTATTATAATTAAAGTCAGACTTTCTCTATTGATCTTCCATGGGCCTTAAAGTGCTCACAAGTTAGTTTAAATATGATACTTTTACACTCCCACAGGGTATTTCCTCATGATAGAGTCACAGACTGATGTCCAATGAGCTGCGTGGACTTATGCCACACAAATGTTGACATTCTCGTAATTCGAAGGCCTTCTTCTCCTAAACCATGTGGTGGAATTTCACATCACCAAAGACAGTTTCAAACTAAGAACAAGGAAACAGAAGTGTTCTCAATATTCACGCTATTTCATTTTCACTGGACTATTTCCAGCGGTGCGAGGAGAAGAGCGGTTAGTCATTCTGTGCTACCACTTCATTATTTAACGACTGAAGCCTAATAAGTTTCCTTGCTCCTTCTGTTCTGTGGGAGACAAAGGCCATAATATGTCCAGGACATTTTATAAATCCTCCAGTCTCGCAGGAGGGGATATAATGTATGATTGTTTTTAATAGTGTGCTTATTAAACAAAGTTCTTCTGGACTATTTCAGGAGGCAACACAGGGCACCACACATCCAGTGTGATTCAGCCTGCACTGCACTCCATTTAGACATTAACCAGAAACCAATAACACACACACTCTCTCTCTCTCTCTCTCTCCCTCCCTGCCTCGCTCTTGCTTTCTCTCTAAGATGATTCCCCATTCATCAAACACAGCTCTTGAGAGTGATAAACTTACTAATCCTAAATGTTGACACTTGTGCTGTTACACACACACACACACACACACACACACACACACACACACACATATATATATATATATATATATATATATATACACAGGCGTGAGAAAACAAGTGAGTGTCCCTTTAATTTGAACCAAGCCCTGTGGGGATTCAGCCGAGAATCAGCCTGTGGAATGCGTCGTTTGTGTGCCAGAGATTGTTCCCAGTGAGAGAGAGTAGGACACACAAACTGGACAAAACCAACAATGTGGGAAACTTGTTGCTATTGATCTCTGTGGACTGAACTGATTTATCTATCTCACACCGGGCAACACCACGTTTCGGATGCAGCTGATTCATATGAACCCGGTAAGAGGCAGCGACCGTAGCGATGGTCTCCAGCGGGATCAGGTGGATAACTCCCGTTGTTTCGCTCAATGGACTTTTCGGGGCATCCTGACCGCTAGCTTAGGCAGCTAAATGCTAATCATAGCCAAAACCAACCGCTTCTTGTATTTACCCTCCCCTACCACCACCACACACTGGAGGCTCGGTGCTGTGTCTGCTTTGAGGGCAGTGTGTTAACGATGGGAACCCACTTTTAAAAGTTTCGTCGATGTTTATTTGATCAGAAACTGGCCCTGAATTAAATCCCAGTCACTCTTAACGGTATAGCCCGCTAACTATTAGCCACTTAGCGCGTTAGCCTGCCTAACAACCGCTGCTGTTTGAAAAACAACGGCAGTTGGGTTAGCAGTTAGCTTTAATTAGCTTAAAGAGAAAGTTTATAAACCATCATGCAGGCGGGTTTGTCTGTGTATGTGAAGGTTGCACAACTTCCCTTCAGTTTTTATTGTGTGTGTGTGTGTGTGTGCAGACTGAAGCTCAACAGGTGATTGTGAGCTAACGTTAGCGTCCAAGATAACTTGTGTTATTTGTCGGATGTCAGCTGGCTCACACGTTGCCTCTAATATGAAGGGAGGATAGGACAAGTTACATTATTCACATTCACAGTTAAATGGCGATGTGCTGTGGAAGAAGAAGCTACCGTCTGTGTTTATTCTCCACCCTCGTTATAGTTGGCTCAGAGACTAAAGCAGCTAACTGGCTCGGTATTATGAAACGCCATAATCCTCGATGTGTTAAATGATGTTATTCTTGAGTGTCAAATTCTTGCTTTTCTTCCTCCTCTGCCTCTCTGTTCTGACTGAGCTTTCTCTCTGACTGGGTCACATGGTGCTAATTGTGCTTGGCAGGTCTGCCGGTGCATAACAGCCCACTCCACTGACTCTGGGTCTCACCCATCTCACCCTGTTAGCACACCACTTCTCCATGCATCACTGATTTGCCTTCCAGCATGCCTGACTCTCTGTGTGTCTGCCCTTTTACACGATTTAAGGTCTGACTGCCTCCACGTCTCCTCTGAGTACCACTCACTTCTAAACTATCATCTACTATTCATTGTATTTATATGCCTGATTAGTCAGGTGAAGCCCCTTAAAGGGTGGTAATCAGCAGAGGAGAACTAAGTTGATTTTAGACTGTGTGACGTAAACAGCATTTATTTAGATTTACATATATTCTGCCATGGTCCCCCCCCCAAGCTTTATCTTCTAGTAGTATCTGTACGCAACTGGTCTTCACCCTCCTTAATGAGTGACAAATGTGACCGGCAGAGATGTTTCGCTTCACTGAGTCAAGAGCTCCCCAAGCCCCAGTAACTTCCTGTTACACTGCGTGATGTCATGGGTTGGTTGGCCGGTTCAGAGTTTGCCCCGAGTGTTGATGTTTTTGTCACTGTTGTCTCAGGAAAGTAAGAGAAACTTCTCACACAAGTGTGTGTGCATAAACACACAGGAAGTGGGTGATGTCAGTTTTTGGCTGCTATGTAAAAAAGTAGTACCTTCAAAACAGCTGTTGTTTCCTCTAAGTTGGTTTACTATTTGTGGTAGCAAGGTTTTTTCTGAGAAGTGGTAGAGGGTACATGTGGTTTAAAATGGGTTTATTGTGTACCAATAAAACCACAGAAATAAATTTAGCCTAACCTACATATTGAATACTCCGCCCAGTTTGTGTCACCGCAGATGGTGGGATGGCACCATCTGAAATTACACTGTAAGAAATTAATGAATGATGAAACAAGTGGAGGGTACATGCTGTTAATACTCTGCATACACTGAACAATGCTGCCTGGCATATGTGAATTTAATCTAAAATGATATGCTGTGGCCCCATAGAAAACACTGTACACTTACACTAGCCAATATGATTTGAAACATTTAATTTAGACTGAGGCAGTATTGGTGCTTTTACTGTACATTTCCCTTTGAGCATTTTGCAATCTGAAAAGTCTAACAAAAAGAAACCGATGTCATGAAAAAGATTGTGCGATTTGGCCTTTTCTTGCTGTTTTGGCTGCTCGTCTAATGGTGCAGATGTTTGTGTCCTTTTACACCAGTAAAGCAAGTTTTACTGCATAATTCCATCAAAAGATACACAGCTTGTAAAATCTGCACGAGTAAGTTTCACTATTTAATAAACCAAATCAAAACCAGCATCTAAAAATATATACGCCAAGTATACACAATTCCTAGTTAATGTGATGAATCATCAGTCTTAGAAATTACAATTCCGGCCCATACTGTGTTGAATTTGACTGTTTGAAGGCTGTATGTTAAAATAACCATAAGATAACGTGAGGAAACACATTCTTTCTTTAGAGTCAGAGTAACTAATAGCACGGGTGATTCTGTTTCATTTCCAGCCATCTGTTGGTCTGCTCCCTTCTTTTTTTTCTCCTGCTGTTCAGGGAAAGCCAGAGAAAATGCCGCCTATCTCCCATTCTGCCGATCGCAGTGGTGAGCTAGGCCTCATTTGCATTTGCAGCTCATTGAGTGACTCACAGAACTGTGCACTGTACACCACAAGTGTGCTTCTTGTGTGGTAGGGTAGTTCCCAGTCAGCAGATTCTGGGTGTGGTGGTGGTTTTGATGGGGGCTGAGTGTCCCGTGGATCAGCTGCAAACCACAGCACTGCTGACATGCCCGAGTGAGTGGCACTTATCCCATTGCTCAAGAGTAGCAGAGCTGGTCGACACCCAGCCGATACGTCCACATGATGATATAAATCACTGTGGCGGTATATAATGTCCTCATGTTTAAGCTGTGTATAATTTGATCTTTTAGTTGTGACAGATCTTGTGGAGCAGCATTAGTATATGTTCACAATCACCATCGGTATCACACGCTGTGCTTTTGCCTAAACGTCGAGGTGGTCTGTACCGTGGCTGCAACGAGTCATTGCTGATAAGCTCTGTCATATCAGTAAACAGGAGACACACTGTTCTTGCTTACTGTAGGATTTTTTTTTTTTACTTCCATTAAGCAACATTTATTTTGAAAGCAGTTTGAGTACAATCACTTCTACTACACATTCCTCAACAGAAATAGCTAACTGTTGGGTTCCTCAGTGATGACTTGAAGGGATGTTGTTGCAGTGACATGGCTATTTTATTTAATCTAGATCTGCTTACCTATCATCCTCTTATCTTTTCCTGTTCTTAGCAATACTTTTCCCAGCCTTGCCCAGTCACTGTGTTAGGGCTTTGTTGAAGATGTACTACAGGCTTGATAGACTTGATTAGACATCGAAGGCTTGTTTAGCTTCTTGTCTGAAAGAGCCAGGCTGGTGGAGAGGCTGGAATTTTACATATTAGTTGGAGCGAGGTGGAAAATTATCTCTGGGTCTGGCTGCTTGACTGCTGATGAGTTTGTTGGCTTACTGACTTCTGTGCCAATTAACTCCTATAAAGGTAAAAAAACCCCACTATTTTCTGTGAAATCTGATGTGGATAATTTAATCTGAAGCAATCGTTTCTGAAATGTTGTTGTTTGTATTCAGAACCAGAAATACAGTACTATTAATTTAAATGTTTTGTGTCAACATTGGGACTCAGTGGATTTGCACTGGTCCAGTTCAGTACTGCTGGATCCAACTCAAAGAGGGACACAGGGCTGCTGGTGAAGATTATTCAGAAGCCAGTTTCTGTTTTCTTTTCCTTCAGCTCAGCCAGTGATTGTTCATTTATTACCAGAGAAAGGGACAGGGAGGGGGTAGGTTAGAGATTATGAATGAACTGAAATGAGTATAAAGAGAATAAGTCGTTGGGGCTAGATCTGAAATGTAAAAGGGCAAGAGAGAAGATAGATTAGATTACAATAACACTCTCACAGGACTCGCATATTATATTCTCCTATTCTTTATACCTCTAACTTCATCCACGCACACAATTTATTATCTCTTACGGCTTTATGCCTTTTACTGCACAGGAAGAAGAGTTTTTGTCATTGTCTCCATTGTACCAGCACACATAGGAAGACAAGAGGAATAAGCAATAGAGGCCTTTACAGTAGCCTGTACAGCAGTTAGTGGAAGTTGCTAGTATGGGTCATGTTTAAACTGTGTTGTTCACAGGAGTGCCACCTTTGTCAACAAGCTATGCAACCAGATTCAAACAATCGCCGTACTGCCTTGTGCCTTGTGTAACAGGGTAAATGTAAAGGGGGGCAGGGTTGGGGACATGTTCACTTTGTTACATGCTATAAGCAGAAGTTACTGGTCAGGTTTTAGTTAGTTTGCCACATTAACACGAAATACGTGACAAAAAATAAATCTGAAACCTTTAACACACACACACACACACACACACACACACACACACACACACACAAAACAATGTAATTTTTTCTGGTTCTAATTTCACACTTTTCTTTATTATTTATTTTTTTACCATGGTGGTTTTCAGTTTTGAATGACCCATTTGGTGCAGTCGGCTTGCGTCTGCTTTTCACTAATTGCTGCATTAAATCAAGCTCTACACATAGAGCCAGTTCTTGTTTTAGTCTGTATATGCATTTCCACACTTGTGTACATCTGTGTATGTTTTGCATTGATGGCCATGTGTTTCATGTCCACGTCAGGCTGGTTTTACCTGACTGGGTTGGGACCAGACTTTGCATAGTGATTACTTCATTTGTTTGGCCAGCCTAGTCCCTCTGGATAGGCTTCCTTTGCTTACCTTATACAGTATGTAGCCGGGCTGAAGGATTCAATTGTTTTGTTTTACCAGCGTTTTTTCTTTCCAGTAATTGAGTAGAACTTACTTCCCGCAGTATGTTTTTCCAAAACAACTATGATGTGTATCTATGTTAAACATCAGAGATACAATCAGTCATTCCATTTAAACCTGAGCAGAAGCTTTGTTTTCCATGCAGGGAGGAAGGTTGATAAAAAGAGAAACTTATTACGGAGAAAAAGGGAGTTCCTGACTGTGTGACTCTGTATTTTGTACGTGTAAACATACAAGCCACAGAATTACTTAACAGTCTCATGGAGCCAGAAGTGATTCTTTGACTTTGTGATGAGAATATTTGTCTGAAAACAAATACTTGACTTTGTGATTGTTAATAGCGGCAGCTGAAAAAGCTCTACCTCCAGGCGTTTGTTTCAGCACCATTGAAAGGCTTTGTTTGAATCACAGCCTTTTGCTTTGAACGCTGCCTTCAGGGGCCGTTGGATTGGTTTTGAAATTTCAAACTTGGTTTACTGTCATAGTTCCCATCCATATTATAATCCAAAAGCCACAACTGGTGCCTCGATACACTGTGTACTCTTTATCTAATGCAACACTGACTCTGTGTTCCTGTCCTGCTGTGTTTCAGATTGTGCTGTGAACGTTCACAAGAGCTGCAAGTCTCTGCTGGGTGAGTGCACCAGCAGCAAGAATAAGGTAAACACTACACTGGAGCGTAGAAAAACAGGACCTAAGGCTATAGTGAAGTCACCCTTAGTACCTTAACTTCCACTGTGCTCTATTCCTTTGCATATAGACTAGGTATATATATGTACATGGTCAGACATTGGATCAGTAGCAGAGACAATGAATTTCAGAGTGCTTCCCCTGCAAATAAAACAACTCATTCTATGGTAACAAAAACACAATGATTCTTATAGTTATACACAATGAAAACATACATTTCTGCCAATAGATCCTCCTAAATATTACACACTGGACCTTTTTAAATAGATTTATACTTTGTTGTTGCAGTATATTGTCTGTCTTGCTGTAGGTGCTTATGATGCCAATTTTTAATAACAGTTGCACAGTTTATAGGATGGTTTTAACACATTTTTTGTTGTTGTAGCCTCACTGTGACACTATGTGTCATGATCAGACAGTGTTTTTCATTAAATATATATTGAAAGAATGTTGTTTTCACTATCAGCAAACACTTCCTACACCTGCAACTACAGTTCTGGCTTTTTCCACATTTTCATTGTTACATTTTGAAGGAGGTACATATTCGCAATAGAGGAACTGTCTATATAGCAATAAAGCCTCCACATGTAGCTACTGCAGCACCTCAGCAGAGAAGCATAAATCCACTTTTGGCAGGCAGAGCTGTGCATTCATTCGGGGCAGGGCTTCTGAGACTATTCAACTGAAGATTACATGCCTCTGTCCACTCTTATGAATCTGTCTGAGATGGACTTTGCTTGTTAAGCAAAGGCCATGTGAGCAGTCTGTTTTGTAAAGAAAGTACAGTAAGACCGTGCAATTTCTAGGCATTTTGTAATCTGTCACTCAGCTGCATAAAAACTTGAAAGAATGCCCTTGTCTTTCTTTCTTTTCTCCACGCAGAGAGAATCTTTACCGAGGGCTGGCACATCAGGATCTCCTAACCTTGGTAAGCAGAACATGCATGTATAGATTTACCCCATGGGAATCCCACTGACCACAAATAGTTGGATAAGAAGATGGTTTAGTCCCTATGTGTCAAATTAAAAAGCTGGTTGCCTCTCTGGTGGTTTGCAGAGGATTATCTGAAGATGGAATCATCTGATTTCTTTCTCTGACTTACTGTATGTATTGTATGTGTGTCTGGGTCTTTGTGGTGTATGTGTCTTTGCCTACACGCTGAGTGCAGAGGGGAAGATTGGCCTCCAACAGGCTGTAGGCAAAGGTGATGATTAGCCATTGTTAAGAACAGTCAGATGATTACCTCTGGTTCAATTCTTGTCTAAACCCAGGATAGATTTAGTCATGTTCTACCATTTATACACATTAGTTGGGTTTGTATCAATAGATAAATATCAATACAGAAACATAAGGAAGAAAAATCAATTGTTTGAAATTTGTTATTTGCACATTTTTAAGGATGTCAAATTCTTCCGTACAGGAAAGTTTTTATTAAAGGTCATTTGACTCCAGAATAAATGTGCAGTCTGCTCTCATCCATTATTATCAAGTGGTCCATTCCAGAAAAGCTGCTAATTGTAACATTCAGCAGGTCCTGTTGCATGTGATTGAACCCGCAGGAGACATGAGCGGCTGCAGCAGCAACAGCTTAAGTTAATCTCCTGTAGCAGTTGTTATTCTCCTCTGAACAGCTGGAGTCCTCTCAGCCACACCTCATTTCTCCTCATCTCCTGCTCTGGTCAATCAGTAGCTTGTGCAGGGGGTCTGGAAAACGGCGAGCAGCGAGAGGAATTGAGGAAAAGTGAAGAATCAGAAAGTGTGAGCAATATAAAAGGGTGTGCGTCTTTCCAGAAGTTGCTAGAAGAAATCGGACGTAAACCACGTCGGCAGGTCGCGTATAAAAACCAGGCTTCATGCTGTCTTCTGCTTCTTGTCCTTCGTTACACCAGTGAAGGCACATCACTTATTACTATTGTACTTCATTACTTTTTATATCTACTGATCCTGCGACAGAGACTATTGAACCTTACCTTGGAGTTTGGATTATTACACTCCTCCTTCTGCCACTCCATATAGTTTGAGACTCACAATGGCGCTAGCTGTTACCAAAGACACTACTCAAACCACGGGAGCCTCCAAAGGTTTCTCCAGAATTGCTAAACCATCCTCCTCCCCATCTTCCTCTGCCTCATCATGGGGTCTGTCGGGACGTGTTGGCGTTCGTGTTTTGATGCACCGCGACCTGATCACCCGCCGATTCTTTCGATCCCTGCCTCGATCTTGGTTGAAAAAATACTGGGGTCGACTCGGACAGGAGTCAAATAAGCCCTCCTCTTTGCCTCTGCACTGGTCATCTTCTTCTTTCGCCCTCTCCTCTCCTCATTTCTCCTCACGTTCCTCCTCCGTATCCTCTCATTTTCTCCGTTCACCTGTCTCTCATCTTTCCTCCCCAGCGCTAAAAGACCGGGACAGGGAGAGGGAGCAGTTGGGCCCAGCCTCATCACAGGCCCTGGATGGCCACCCAGGTTATTTCAGCACCCCAGGCATGACCATTAGTCCGTGGGGACCTAGCACTCATCCGACTGCTGCCCATACCACCAGCTCCACCACAGCCTCCAGCCTTGGCCACAGCCTCCGTCACCACAACAGCTCAGGGTGAGTATCTCGGCCTTGCAAGTTAAGACTTTTTTTTTTCGCTGTTTCTAACTTAACTTAACTAGTTTCCTTTTTTTTTATATTTTCTTCTGAATAACAGGATTCAGGGTTGAGAAGTTCAAAAACCACCACAAAAATTAGATATCTTTCTCTCAAAATCTGTAATTCTTTAGATGTTCACAGGATCTGCTGCATGTTAATGTTGGATATTTTTAGATTCTTTGCTGCTTAAATACTATTTTCTCTATGCCATCATAAGATGTGTATTTATAGTTGACATATCAAGGCAAGCTGTCTTTTCTAATATAGAAGCAGTTTGAAACTGAGTCTAGACAGTTTTCAGAAGTGGACTACTATTCCACTGCATTGTTAAGAAAATGTGTAGGGAGATGGGAAGGAAGAGGGAGGGAGAGAGAGAGAGAGAGAGACAAAGGCATAGGGAAGGCGTAAAACAAGAGCAGAAGACAGAGAGTCATAGATGGGCAACAATAAGCGGGGAAGAAAAATGTAGCTGCCTGGGTTTCTCTTTGGAGTCTGTTTTATGGTATTGTTACTGTGCACCTGTAAATGTACATGTTGGCTCCTAACTTTATTTAGGCTGCCACCAGCTAGTGGGATTAAGTTGTACCAGTTTTAGCATGTATGCAACCTTGGACTTGTGGTTGTCGTCCCTCAGATCCCTCCCTGGGGAGATGGATGAGACAGATGCTCTCCGCTCCAAACGCTGCAACGAAGACGCCATTTCCCTTGCTCCCTCCACCACCGAGTCCATCATCGTTGAAGGTGCGTTGACCGACCGAGGTGGGGATGGGACTTGAATTTCAACAGTTCCACTCTTGGTTTAAATCGTTAGGGTGGTAACACGGTTTATCTAATATAACTAATCTTTCTCAGTCTTTTCAGTCCTCTAAGATCTATTTGTTTGCCTGAGTGCAGAGTGATAGTTTGTCTTCAGGGAGTTTTGTTAAGTCCAGGGAGGAGAGAGTGTGGAGTGTGTTTTGTGGAGTCAGGGGTGACCTCACCCTTTCTCATTAAGCTGTAGTGTGTGGGAGAGAGAGACAGGCTAACTGGGTACTTCAGTAGCTTGCCACATAGAAAGAGCTACTGCACCATCTTTTTCTCCCAGTTCCCCCGTTCTAGGGTTTCTTGTTTTATCAGACACACACTTTGTGACTCAAAAGAGGGGTGACTTCAATTCTTATATTTCATCTCTGTTGCTTTGCAGTATATTGCTCAAGGGAGCACAGAAAAACTAATCTGACAATGCCCGAATGTCCCTTAATAAAAGCATGCAGCACAGCATTGGGGTTACCTTCTTGTAGGTACTTTTATCATTTTGGGCAACAAGCTGACTGTATCAATATAAATAATATATCCTATGTAATGTAAATCTACAAACAGCTTTTTAAGGAAGCCCCTACAATTCAAATTATTATCTGCTGATAAATAGTAATGCAATACAAGTATAGAGTGCAGGGTCAGCTACAAATCATCACCTCTTGTGCTGAATGTAGGTCAACACTGACACTTCCCACCCTTTAAACCACAAGGTCTTTATTGAAGCCAAGGTTTAGATATGCCCAGACAAAAGCTTTTCCATAGTTTGGTCGGTAAAGGCTTATACTTAATATTTTAAAAAAGTTTGGACAAGGAAAGTATGGACAAATAGTTTTGTTGAGTCAAGATTACTTAGTTCATATTGCTTTGTCACTATCACCATGTATCATTTTCCGCCCTGCCAAAATACAAATAGACAAGACATTAAGTCAGCAGTGAACTATTCTTAAAGTTGGATGCTTCACAATAAGTAATTGGTGACCTTTTCTAAGGGAATGATCTCTTGAAAATCACTGTTCATCATTTATGAAAGATACAAAATGTAGAAGATTCTGTGAAAGTCATCTAAGGTTTTGAGTTACCTTTTGTCCTTTTAGAGGAAACATGATCTGTTCATCTCCTGCCATCAATCATTTTGAGAGAGTTTGAAAGTTGGCGTCTCCTTGGAGGTGACAAGACGGACCTTCAGCTACAGTACATAATCCAGACTGTATGCTCCCTTGGGTGCTGTTCTGCTCACACTTAACCTGCGACTTTCTTGCGGAAACACTGACCTAAACATGGGTTACCGCCATATATAGTCAACTTAAAACTAAAATTTGTTTTGTATAATAACGCTGTAATGTGCCTCTGCTCCTCTCCTCAGATGCTCACTATGCAGCAGTGCGGGCCGATCTGGAGTCTGATGCGCAGGACCTGGAGGCAGAGTCCTGGAGTTTGGCAGTTGACCAGCAATTTGTTAAGAAGCACTCTAAAGAAACAGTGAAGAGACAGGATGTGATATATGGTGAGTGTGATTTCAGAGGTTGTGTTCACTCTTGTACCTGTCGAGTCAATGAGTCACCCTTCCTTTGGATTGACGGGTAGCTCATTGATTTGGTAGCTTTGGTGAACTGTCATCCTGGCTCACTAGTCATTTTATTTTTAAAAGTGTGCTTCAATGATTTAACATTGTTGGACTCACAATGGATAGTTCTTTTTTTAAAAAGTATTAAAATTGATGCAGCAGAACTAGAGAATATTGTATTTCTTTAGTTTTTCCTTGTCAAAAACTACCCACAATGCAACTCAAGCACAAATTGTTTAGTTGGAGATTTGAGATGCAGCTAATATAGCCTGAAGCAGAGTAAGCTGATTTTTTCCCCTCATTTTTAAAACTTGTAGTATTAAGCCCATTGACTGTGTATATAAGATTCAGCCACAATGGAAGCCTGACTCAAGCGACATCACTCAAGGCAATTTATCTGATTTCGCATAGCTCCCTCTTCAGCCACAAAAGGCTTTATACTACTTTTTCACATATTTATTAGTACTCCTCAAGGCCTGTAAACAGACTTAAATTTTAGGACTACTTTAGAAAGCTGTTTTAGTCATGTGAATGTATAAGCAAACAATATGAGGAAAATAGGATAGGTTGGTAGGTTTGGATGGCACGAAGCACCTGTTGTTAGCCAGTCCAAAGCATTGCAATGCATTATACATGTATGTGCTTTACATGTTACATGTAACTATGTCATTGTACAGAGCTGATGCAGACGGAGATGCACCATGTGCGAACACTGAAGATAATGCTGCATGTGTACGTGCGAGAGTTGAAGGAGAACCTCCAGATGGACTCAAGCCGGCTGGACTGTCTGTTCCCCCGCTTGGAAAACCTCCTCGAGCTTCACACAAATTTCCTGTCTCGTCTCAGAGAACGTCGGCGAGAAAACCTTGTCTCGCCCAACGAGAAGAACTACACTATCAACAGAATAGCAGATATTCTGATTGCACAGGTAGGGAGGAGAAACGAAGCGTGTCCAACAAGAACACTCATGCAGACGCCTAGCATTGATTGTGTTGAGTAGATCACAATAGAGTTACACGTGCACAACATGATACACAAATTATATGTAAACAGCACTAAACATCTGCCATGGTACAGTATGGACCAGCACACAAAACAGAGCTGTCTGGGTGACAGAGATGACGGTTTTCTTTGCTCTCCAGTTCTCGGGTGAATTAGGCGAGAAGATGAAGGACAGCTATGGAGATTTCTGCAGTCACCACACTGAAGCTGTCAGCTACTACAAAGAACAGCTGCATAACAACAAAAAGTTCCAAAACATCATACGGGTAAAACACATCAGCAGTCTTTTGACTTTTTATTTTAGATTGAATCCACAGTGCCTCTGCATTACAGGCCACTAGGAGTCTCATAAACATTGACAACTTTTTTCTTCACAGAAAATCAACAACCTGTCCATTGTTCGGAGGTTAGGAGTGTCTGAGTGTATTCTGTTGGTGACACAGCGCATTACCAAGTACCCAGTACTAGTGGAGCGCATTCTGCACAACACTGAAGGTGAAGCATTTCATATGCATTTGATAAATAAATCTGATTTAAAAAAAAAAAAAAAAAAGCACAAAAAGCACAATCACTGCTGAGGAGAGTACACCCATATAATTAGTGAGATATAACTTCACTCATTATAGATTTGTTTTGCTGTAAACCTATAAAATATCACATTTGTTTTCTGTCTCTAGCGGGTACAGAGGAGCATGAGGATCTAACTCGATCAATAGGTCTGATTAAAGACACCATTGTTCAGGTTGACGCGTTGGTTAATCTCCACGAGAAGAACTCTCGACTTCGAGACATAAACAACAAGATGGAACCAAAGGCACTGGGAAAAATCAAAGATGGCCGAGTGTTTCGTAGAGAGGACCTGGCACAGGGCAGAAGACGACTGCTGCATGAAGGCACAGTCAACTGGAAAGCTGCTTCTGGCAGGCTCAAAGGTATATGAGATGATATAAAACAAGATATACTCTCTAGAAGTGTGCATATATATGCTGTTCCTATTAAAATAAATCTAGAATGTGTCATTCTTGTCCTTTTGAAAGGTTTTGGAATGAATTAACATTAAGAAGAGATAGTCACACATTTTAAATGTGTCAAGTCTATTATCTTCCTTCTTTCCAGCTTGCAGGCTGAAGTCTAAAGGTGTCACTTGTGATTTTTGTCCTTCCAGACATTTTGGCAGTGCTCCTGTCAGATGTGTTGCTTTTGCTACAAGAGAAGGATCAGAGATATGTATTTGCTACAGTGGTGAGTGATTCTTCTGTCAGTATGAAGCTATCTAACAAAAACAACCAACTTAAGTGCAAGTCATCAAAAAGCACATCTTGTTGTTTCTTCCACCCTCCCTCCTCCCTCCTCCATCTTCCTCTCCTTCTTATTGTTATCCACCCAGGATAACAAGCCGTCAGTGATCTCTCTTCAGAAGCTGATCGTCAGGGAGGTAGCCCATGAGGAAAAAGCCATGTTTCTTATCTGTGCCTCCTCCAATGAGCCGGAGATGTACGAGATCCACACAGCCTCCAAGGAGGAGCGAAGCAGTTGGATGACACACATACGGCAGGCTGTTGACAGGTAGCTGCATTCACACAAAGAGGAAATGCACAAACATTTATTACTATTATTTCTGTTTTTGTGGGAAAAAATTAAAAAGATTTGGATATAACAGAAAACGTATAGGAACCTGACACCTATGCCTCCTCTGTCTCACCATCTGTAATGGCTTCTGTCCTGTCTCCTCTTAGTTGTCCTCATACTGAAGAGAGGCTGTTCAGCGAGGAGGAAGAGGCACGAGCTTCCAGGTTCAAAGAATTTCAAGGTAACTGAAGATGACTTGCATAAAGAAATCGCCTTGAAAATCACATAAAGTGGGCCACTAGGAGGCACTCATGTATCATATTAAACTTAAAATGTTTAGACTTTGGTAAGTTGTTGACTTTTTGACTTTGACTTTTTTTTTTCTCATTTCAGTGTATGAAAGCTGTATTAGAACACATAGATTTTATTCCTTGCAGGAGAAGTCCCTAAGAAGTGTGAAGTATCAATTGTTTAAGAGATAAAGTCTTACTTTATGTTGTTTCCCATTGTAGAACGGCTGAGTCAGAAGGATGCAGTGATCGTCCAGGCTCTTACTGAGAAGCTGCAGCTGTTTGCGGACATGGCAGAGTCTGTGACAGGTCCAGAGGACACAGCTTCACGTGCTAGACTTCTGCTCCGAGGAGACGCCTCAGACCTCCAGCAGGGGGAGGCCCTGCTCAAAGGAGCTATCACTGAGGGTAGGACAGTGCTGCATGATATGTGTGTCTGCTTTATACACAGAGACATGGCATTATGGCATTGTGTGAATTTCACACACAGATTTGGTCAACTTTATGTTTATATACTACTCACTGCAGGTCTGTAATAAATCTATATGTAGCCTAAACTCTCCCTCAGTCCAACTTTTCAACCTATCTCTTTCACTTCAGTGGAGAACCTCCAGAACCTGCTGCAGTCCGGAGTGAGGGAGGAGACTCCAATCTCACGGCTGGAAGAAGGAAGCGGCTCCGGGGTTCTGCCCAGGCGAGCGGATACCTTTGGGGGCTATGACAGCAGCCCCACCATCCTCAGTAAGAGTGAGTCCAGCACAATCCATTCCCTGAAGAAGTCTACCATCTAATGGATTTGCAGTTGTATTTCAGTGGCCTTTATGCCATTAATGAATTTAAATAAATTTGAAATGTTTTTTTCAAAGACCGTTGATTCCTTGAATTGGTTTTATTGGTTGAATTTATGGGGATTGTTTTTCTAAGAACTCGTTTCTTGGTGATAAACGCACGCTTAAAAATTAGAAATTTTACGGGTGCAGTTTTACATGTGTGTTTTTTAAGTGCAATGTTTGTGATTGTCTGTATTTCTATGTATCAGTTTAGTTTAATTATTTGTGTGTTTGTCTCCGTGTCTGTGTCCGTGTCTGTGGGTGTTGGTGTTGATGTGTCTGTGCCAGATGGCAGTGTGAAGAAGAACTTTTCTGGTGAGTCCAGAAACAGAGACAGAAGCCAGAGAGCCAGCTCTGACCCTCTGCTCAAAGACCACTGTGGCAGCAACACCCTGGAACAGACGGTAGGGGCTCAACGCACACACACACACACACACACACACACACACACACACACACACACACGCACACACACACGCACACATGCACACATTGGGATGAGTCACAGTGTTATTTCCTGTAAATAGTAATGACCAGCCCAAGTCATCTGGAAATTTTCCATGTCCTGATGTTTACTGTAACCTGTCACTTAATTTGTTTATAAATAGATACAGCCTTGATAAAACAATGTCCTCATTGGTTTACTTCTATTATATCTTTGTCTTTGAGAATGATCAAGCAGACAAAGTATGACTTGATACTGACAGTTACAGTGCTGTGAAGTTTCATACAGACTTTGCATTAATGGTCCTTCAAAATTAATTTGAACACATAGCTTTAAAAAAAAAAGCAAAACAAAATTAAATTATGAAATCACGTATGACCACAATACATTTAAAATGTTTCATATGTTTTTACTGCATCTATATCTCATTGTTGTGTATTGTATATGTTGTGTAGCAGTACTGAACAGTACTCACAGTGTGCTTGTGATGTTATTTCATGACTTGCTGTGTGTCTCACTGTTGTTCCTCAGGTTGATGAGAGCTGCTGCTCTCCTGCCAGATGGAACTGCATCTGGTCCAACTCCTTCCCCGAGGCTGAGGTAAACTCTGTCACCTTGTGCTATACAACACTGCTGGCACTGATATTCATACCCATACCCGCTGAACTGAAAAGATGTACCCATAAAGAAGTTGATGAGATGTACTATTTTGCTGATGCTGGTGTTGTCCTTTTGATAATATGATAACCTTGCCTGTGTTTCTATTGTAGTTCTTTGACAGAGTGCTGATGCTCTCCCAAAGGCTCTATAGTCTGCAGGTAATACTGTCACTGAAGTCTAATTGAAACATGTGGTATTCTGTATGTTTGCAGATTAATTGCTTCATATTTTGGTGTTTATGTTTGCAGTTTGACTCACTTGGTAACTTTCATGTTCACTGCTTAGAAACATTTCACTACAAAACTCAAACATGTTCCCTAATGACCTGATATTTTTTTCCTGTCCCCGTCTCCAGGCCATCATATCACAGCGGGACAGTCATATTGAGCTTCAGCGGGCCTCCCTGCCCGGTCGCCACAGAGGGAACGTGCTACTGGAGCAGGAGAAACAGCGTACTTTGGCCCTGCAGAGAGAAGAGCTGGCCAGCTTCCACAAGCTTCAGTCTCAGCACCGGCAGGAGCAGCAGCGCTGGGAGAAGGAGAGGGAGAGGCACCGCCAGCAAGTTGAGGCCACTGAGGCCAGGCTCCGACAAAGGGAGGAGGAGTGCAGACGACTGGAGGTGAAGTTTTCTGTCCTACCTTGAATGTATGCTTCAGTTCTATGGGATTTTCTCATGTGTAATGAAAATAAATAAACTTTTCCTAAAGTGTTCTAGTTTGTATAACCTACAAAGAGATGGCTTCAAATGGTATTCTAAGCTTTTTGTACTTTCATTGAAGTATGATGTGTCTCAGTTCAATGTGTAAAGTACAGATATTTATGTTCCACTCAAACTTAACGTTGTTTGTTCTTTCGATGTAGGAGCATCTAGCAGAAGAGAGGAAAGAGCTGGAGATTCAGAGGGAGAAGTACCAGCGGGACCTGGAGAGGTTGAGGGAGTCCACCAGAACTGTGGAGAAAGAAAAGGAACGCCTGGAAAACCAGAAGAAGATTAAGAGGAAGACTATTGAGGTAGGGAACTTTAGTAGGCCATAAGTAGGCATGTAACAGTAGAAGAAAATACAAAAACTCCCGAATGTTCAGTTCACCATACTGTAGACTAGCAAGACTAGCAAGCTGAGAAAGATGAAAAGAACAGATGCCCAAAAGTTAAAAAAAGAGGACAAGGGTGCTGGGTGACAGTGAGGGGAAGAGGTAATACCAGGAAAAATGCTGCTGGTGACAAAACCTCACAGGATAAAGAATAAGAAGGGGCTTTCCTGCCTCTCTTGCTTCCTTTTTCCTTTTTTGTTTTATTGTGTCAATTTTCCAAACCTTTCCCCACCATGACGCTCTTTTTTTCCTTCCACCCTGTCCCCTGGGCATGAATCCTGTACCCACCCTTCTAAGGTACTGAAGAGCCAAATATGTTTTCATACACTGGCTGTAAGGTTGTTGTTTGCATTTACAATCTTTCTATTCTTCTTCACACACACAACAAATTTCTGCCTGTCACATCACAGTCAGTCTCAAACAGTTGGGTAATTGGCCATCAGTCTAATTGGCCTAATATTCACACACATTACCAGTAAATGAACCAGTAGAAACATGAATGCGCTGAAGGAATTTGGTTTCAGCTCCCACAGTCTATTTTATAGATGGGTGTAATGATAAATACTGAATACATCTCTTACTACTCAACTCAGGAATCCACCAACACAGGGAGCAGTCTTTCCCTTCATCTCTCTTTACCTCTTTTTCCGCTTCTCTCCTCCCTGAGTTTCCTTCCTTGTATCTCTCTTTCTCTCCTTGCAGTACAATGCGGGTCATTGTTTGTGAGTTTCATGGGAGAGGAGCTTTGAGAAAGATCCACTGACTGTAATTTCATGCCTGGTGCTAATAGATCTGTCAAGGAGCTACAGTAAAGTTACTTAATATCAGCCTTTAGTGTTTTCAAAGGTCTGTATCACCATTGCAGTTTGGTTGATTGGCATACTCTGTAACAAGCTCTGGGGGGGTTAGGGTAACTGTATCATGGGAACTTTTATCTCGATTCAGACTTTATCGTCTTATCAAACCAAGAAGATACAGTGAAATGGGTGGCAATATGAATAAGGTCCTCTGTCACACACAGAATGTAATTCTATATCACAATAAAAAAAATACTTTTTATGGAAAGTCAATGAAGAAAAAATACATCACATTGATTGAAAAATAACGAAAACAAAATCCAATATAAGGAATTAAAAATGGGGCAATACAACAAACTTATTTCATCTAATAGATTAGAAAGAGAGCTAGAAATCATATTTAGTCATATTGCTATAAAGATCTTTATCACAAAACTACACTCGAATATTGTGATCTATAATGACAGCTGCACTACTGAGTCACACCTATGACTCATCAGGAGGATGTAAAGGACACCTAGTGGTGGGATTGTTCACTCTGACAATGCTGCTCTGTAAAAGAAAGCCAAAATATTTCAGCTGGATGAATCAGTGTCGTTCTCTTTTATCCCTGCTTCTTAAGAAAAGACGAGGTTTGTCCGTATGTGTACAAACTGGATCGCTGTTTCCTCAGAAGTTTGACTAATCGCCTGATACCAGTGCTGTACTGATACAAATGCTCCCCCAGAGATGTGTCTTTCTGATTGAGGTTGTCTCCAGTGATGTCATTAGTCCCTCCCTACTATCTGACATTTCTACCTGGTTGACGCCTGACAGTTATCTGTGATTGGTCAGTGCCTTTTCATCCTGCATACCAAGCTGAGTAACTGACGGATGACACAACCATCCATTCCAGTCCTGACTTGTCTTGAGAAAGGCTTTTTTCAACTGAGCATACATTTTTTTTTTTTTTACAGTTTTATTTATCTGCTGCAGCTTTACTCGTACCATCCGAAGGACTACACGGTAACAAGACCTTTCAATGACATTCCTTAGTGCCTCAGTTAACTGGGGTCTTAACTCAAGACGTACACAAACACAACCAGCTGACATGAGTTATTGCATTCATCATCTCATTACGGGGCTACAGAAGGCAGGCCTTTGACTGAGTTGAACACTTCACAGTAACTCCTGGAAAACCACAGCCTCTGGTCTTGTGAAGTAAAGGAGCCTCTGGCTGAATCGACCTAATCTGCTGTGATGAGTAATTCAGGGACTCTCATAAATTACAGAGGCCTTCACTGAATCAGTGAGGTTGAATAAGATTGCTGTGCAGTTTATTTGTTACACTGACAATGAGATAAGACCTGAAGCGCCTCAGATCTATACCCTATAAACACTCGGCACCCCATTAAATCACGCCCATAATATTTGTTTTAGACCAGCTAAGTAGTGTGTTTGTGTATTTTGTACACATGCAGATGTATGGTTTTTAGTTCTATACTGTTGGCTCTGCCGTGGGACTTTCTTGGCTGTGGTTATGGGAGATTTGGATGTGGTTTGTTCCCCCTCTGCGTCAAACACATCAAATGGTCTTTTCATCAGCTGTGACCTCAGGATCTCTTCCAGGCTCCAAGCCAGCCTGATATCAACAAACATTTAATCACCACGACCCAACATTAAGACTCATCAGCAAACCCATAGAGCTATGATTAGACCTCATAAAAAAAGACATGCCTCCTTGTGTGTTCGCGTGTTTGTTTCGAAACATATGTGAGTGTTTATGCAAGTATGGTGCTAGTTGCGGCATGTCCTGACTTCAGAGGAGCGTTTCTTTCATGTCTTATCTCATCCGATCACAGTGGCCCGCTTGATAAGGAACACACTGGGCTCAGGCTTTTGTTTTATTGGCACTTCCCCAGACAGAGCCACGGGTCTGACTGCTCAATAGTCCTGTGATTGTTAAGTCATAAAGCATGTTCATAATCAAGGTTAGAGCTGGAGTTTTGATTGACAGTAAACAGTGAAGAAGAGAAAGTAACCTGTACAATACAGTTAATGGAAAAAATAAGAAACCTAAAGGGTATAAAGTGGGCTTATTTCTACAAGGTCAAAGGTTCAATCCCTGGCCAGTCTTGAGGGAGAAATGCATCAATGAAATAACCATTGCTCCTCTTTCAATAACTTCTCTGTGATACCTTTAGGCAAAACACTCAATTTAACAACTGCCTCTTTCTCCTTCGTTTTGCTGAGGAGCCTAAAACTGGATCCTACCTGGTTTGAGTAACTACATGAACATGACAGAACATTTCTAAAACATGGCAAAAATCAAGGGAAACGTTAAAAGGTCAGTGGTAAATAGTGACCGGTATCTGTGTCTTCGACACTCTGAGTTATCGCTTCCCCTCTTTGGCCTCCAGGCTGATTTACAATGCTGTTGTCTGAGTGTGTTCCTATGGTCTGAAAAAACCCCAAGGAGTAACTCTTTCCCCATCAACACCCTCACTATGTACACACACACACACACACACACACACACACACACACACACACACACACACACACACACACACACACACACACACACACACACACACACACACACACACACACACACACACACCTAGATGCCTGTGACTCGCTTCTTCTATAATCAGCCGCCAACAGTTGCTGTGCAAAGCTAAGACAGAACACCAAGCTTGAGGGCAGATATTTTCTTTCGACGCCATCTGTCACTGTAGCTATTCCACCTGTTTTCTGCACACTGTGTTCAGTGCTATTCTGTAGCTTCTTTCAACAAAAATATTGTCAAATTACTCATAATTAATCGTTTGCTCTGTGAGAGAAAAGAGTAGCTACACTTAGACTAAGTTGCACTTTTCTGTTCATCTTGTTTGTTTCAATCAGTTGAGTCTTCAGATGTGGGTAATATGATGTAGGGCTGCTACTGGCAATTATTTCCAATATTGATTAATCTGCACATAATCAATCAATGATCTGGTTTTTCAAACATCAGAAAACTGAACAGAAGTCCTAAGTGATGTAATCAAATCTCTTGATTTGTCTGATCAACCATCTAAAACCCAATCATATTCAACCTACATTAATGTAAGGTGAAGAAAAGCATCAACTTTTCACATTTAAGAATCTGAAACCATCCATTGTTTAGTATTTGTTTGAAAACTAACTTAAATGAATAATCAGTTAGTAATAAGAGACATGTTACTGTCCTACACATAATTTAGTCCAGTATCTTCCCACTGGTGTCCATTGTGTTCAAGGCCATGTGCAGTGTCACTGGAGATATGTATAATATGGGAGTATCCAGGCAGTTTTCAGGATGAGAGGAACCTGGCTGTATAATTAGCTAGTCCAAGCCTGTTATTAACAGAAGCCTCTGGAAGGCAGCCAGTGCTAATTGTTTATGTGCTGTCAGTCAGGGCTATTTGTGCTCTGTAGCCTCTGCACAGTTTACTGCCTTGGAAACCTGCTGTTTATGCCGCTTAAAGTCGATCACCTTGTTCTGGAAACAATGGAACATCTGTGTGTCAAGATGAGTGAGTCTGAGTGAGAAAAATGATGAAGGGGAAAGAAGAAAGGGGGGGTTTAAGGAAAGCTGGAGACTTTCCCCACTGCAGGGCCCCTCTCTGCCTCGGGTCGTGCAGTCATGCTCTGCCTTTACAGCTGGGGGAAGGTACATCTCCACACACACACAAACAGTCACAGTCAGATGAGTCTGCCCTTCATGCCTTGTAAAACACAGTCATCATGTGTTCCCCATCACCACAGGAAGTATTCTGCATCATCATCAATCATGCAGCATGTAGTCTGCGTACCAAACAGAAAAGTTACACACTGATTCCAGAAGTTAAAGGCACCACAGTTAAAATTGGTGTTAAATATACTGTATTATGGTGATATTGGCCTTTTTTTAAATGTCAGACATACGTGAGTTGCTCTGTGATGTTGGCTTGCATATTGATGTTATTTAACCAATCAATGTGACATACTAGATTAAATGTTGTTTCCCATTAATAACCACAAACCACTTGTTTAGTAGTAACCTTTTACTGTAGTTACTTGTAATGCATCTGTGTATTATTATTCATCTTCATGTCTTTTAGTGGAAACTTTTACTGTCTCAGTGCTGCTTGGACTCAAATTCAAAGAAACAAACATCCTCATGAAAAGTTTCTATTTGTGGAACTGGTCTAAATATTATAAATATATAAATATAGCTATTGGAAGCTCTTAAAGATTAGAACTGACCTCCAGTTACAGTAGCTCTTGAACAAAGATAACTGTTACATACTTTGTCTTCATCTTCTAATCACTCTTAGCTATTGGTTCTTTCCAGGCCTGATGGAAGTCACTCGGGACTGCTTGTGTATTTTATTTTTTATTTATTTTTATTATTATATATTTTATTATTATATTTATTTAGAAATGTGTCATTTAAATGAACCAAAATACATAATACACAATGAGCAGCATGTACAAAAAGCTATCCTAGTATACACAGAAAGTGTTATCACTATATGTCTGAAATAACCATATTCAGTCACTCAGACCTTACAGTTGTCTAGATGGAAAACAAAGGAACCATGAATAATAAAGACTTGGTGACAATGGTCACAATGTATTAGAAGGGCTCAAACTGTGTAAGTCCTCCTGTAGCACTGTGAAAAGATGTGTAATGCAACACGTGGGATTAGTAAAGCATACAAACACTGCACCTCTCCATTGTTGCAGAAATCTCACTGAATGCAGATTGGATGGTTGTGTTGACTCGATCTGTAGATCATCTTTCCTTCGGTCTAGTAATTAGGTGGACAATGCAGTCAGTGTCTTTTATCCACTGATGTCATGAGAGCCATTTTCTTGTTCCCCTGCTTGTCTAACAGGCCTGTCTGTTTTGTTAGCCACGCCTTTATGTGCACAGGGACTATTAAGGGTTTTATGTTTCTCATTTTGTGTGTGTGCACATTGTCCTTGAGCCTCTTGGAACACATCAAAAGCCTGTTACCAAACTTACCAAAGTGTGTGCTCAGCAGAAAGAGTCGCATGTGTTTCTGATTCCCTCTTCAACCCATAAATACCCTGCCCCTCAACAGATTGTGTGTCTGTAGTGGCACGGCGTCACACAGATGATTTATAGTCTGTGCATGCGTGTGTGTTTTCTGTACTCTCAAGAAGCTGTTTTAAGTTGTTGGTTGTTTTTTTTGTTGTTTTTTTTTCAAACAGATAACAAAAAAGACTCATAACTCAGTGCAGGCTGCTTACACACACAAAAACATGATAAACATAACGTTCCACAAGTCCGATTCCAAACTGAATCTGACCACAAATATGGATAATTACAGTGCAGAGTTGGGAAGCCATCCTTTTGTGAACTTTAAAACTGAGTTGGAAGTCTTATACGATGATGTTTGCAACAACTAAAGAAGACTTTCGGCCACCTCTCAGCAAATAACATAGTGTTCTCCTCCTTCAGGTGGCTCCTCTGTCCGGCAGTCTGAACGGGGAACTCCTCATGTCCTCTGCCCTCGCCACCTCTGCCAGTGTCGCCGACCTGCCCCTGCCTCAGAAGCCCCTGGTGCGTGGCAGCCTGTCTGTTGCGCCGGCTGACTATCCAGAGCGCCCTGAAGTGATGTTGCGGCGGGAGACGAGCTCCTCCACCCTGCCGCTGAAGACGGAGGTGCCCCTTCATCTCTTCAGCACCACCAACCAGCTGCACAAACCGGTGGGGGTGCAGCAGCAGATCCCCACCAAGCTGGCTGCCTTCAGCAGTGGCAAAGGGAAAGGAGGCAAGATTGGCAAAGCCTCACATCGCACTGACAGCACTGGTAAGAGGTTAGATAGGAAAATCGATAAATTCTCACACTCGAGAGGCTGCAACCATCAAATAATTGTAATTTTAGGATTGATCATGGAAAAGTGTGAATAAATAGTTTGTAAAGGGAGAAGCACCATTCTCTATATGTTTACTCTGACACAGGGAACACTTTGTCACAGCAAATGGAGAGGGTGGAGTGTGACTTAAATGTTATTTCTACCAGCTGGACCCTCAACGAGCACCAAAAAGCACTCTTTTTCAAAATGTGTTGCCTTGAGATTTTCTCCTCTCTTGGTGATGTGTAACAGTGCAGCATTTTCTGTTTTAAAATGGGTTTTTCTTGCTCGCTGTCATCGATAAACAAGCCATCTGTGCCTGACATGAGCTTGACCCGATCCACATGGTTTAAGTGGCTCATTAGGATCACATTAGCTGTTTAAATTGGGTCAGCCATCTGATATATATCAAATAGCGGCCTGAGAGAGGCTACGCTGCTGTAGTCTTCCAATGAAATCTAATTTTACAATTAAATCACCTTCTGTCTCCGTTTCTTGTTTTCTTTGCGCCCTTCTTCCTCCCCCTCCCCTGGTCTCCCCCCTCTCAGCCTCTGTGGATATGAAGCAGATGCTGCCGATGAAGCTGTCCGCCCGAGAAGACAACGCCCTCAAGGCCAAGCGCTCCATCAGCCCCCACCAGCAGCTCCCGCTGTCAGCCCCTCCTCAGTCTCACTCCCTGCATCACCACACAGGTACCTTTTTTTTATATACTCACACACACACACATATACTTTCATGAGCGCACACACACGCTTCCTCTTTTGCTCCGTCAGGACAAACCCAAACACAGTCTCCTCTCGTCTGTCTTTGCCTGCTGCATTATTAAACTCGGTTCTCACACACACAAACACATGCAACACACACATTCTTCACCTGGGCAAACTGGACCCCACCCAATCACGTTCCTCTCTAAAGCTTACCTTCATGCCCAGCCGCACCCTGTGTAAACACCTATCAATTTCACATGCTCCACTGTGATTAATGGCTGGCTGTACTGCTGACACAGACATTTTAACACGTTAATCCTGTGCCCTCACAATTACAACTGACAAAAGAAAACCCTCTTAAGATTTCACGTGATAGATTACAGTTAGGCTGAGTAAGCCGGGCTGTATTAAACAGGTGCAAATGACTAATCTGTCGGTAGTTTTTATGTTTATTTTGGGAGTACTGCCTTGTTCTCTAATAGCTTTTCACGTATGTCTGTGACAGATCAACTCAGTCCTCCAGACATCGCTGGACCAGATACCCAGTCCACCTCCTCCATCAGCACCTCCCACCCTCCAAATATTCAAAAGCCCCCCATGCCTCCTGCACAGTCCCATCCTCAGCCCTCCATGCAGCCTCCCACCATCCCTCCCCACTCGCACAGCGCTGGCTCCCTCCAGTTCCAGTCCCATCTGCAGCCTCAGGGCCCCAGTCCCAATGCTCAGGCCCATGTCCAGGTGAATGTTCCCGGCCTCACCCACAGCCACAGCATGCCACCTTACAAGATGAACACAGAAGACCTCAATAAGGAGGACGTGATCTTCTTCTAAACTCCAGTCAGCTGCCCTTTGGATCAACCTGCTGATTGCGGGAAAAACAACAAAAGAAAAATTATGTGATGGTTGCTGGTCCCAAATGAACCGTGTGTCCCATTCCAAGGAGCCTCTTACATGTAATAATGTGATGTTGATGGTATGTTTAGTGTGGTGTTATTGAGGCTTAAATAAAGGTAAGATAGTTTAAATATCTGTACACAGTTACAGCAATCCATAGCAGAGAGCAGAGCCTTTGTCAGCACTACAGTGGCCCATGCAGAAAAAGAAGTTCTTCAAGAAAGGGTGACTTGGTTCTATTTTAACACTGCTACCACATCTTTGTTTTAAGCTGCCATGGTTTCTTTTTTATTTAATTTTTAGCTTAATTTCTTAACTCGAGAAGACAACAAGTATAAAGAGGAAACCATTTTCGAAGAACAAAAGCTTCTTGTAACTTGTATAAAAAAGGTTTAAAAGAAGTTCTACCAATCCAAAGACATTAGCCGTGAGAGCTGAAGGGGATTTGACTGAAAGGTACAATGTGAAAGAAAAGCGGTTGGGGGATTTTTTAGGAGACTCTGATCAGCCCGGTTAATGAAGCATGAAAAGTGAAAGGTGCAGTGATGGTGCCCCTGGCCTTAACCGTCTGCTTCTGCTGGACCTGAAACCACAAGAAATGATCCAACAGGAACTCCAAAATGATCCAACTCTTAAAACACGAAGGCTCTCTGCTCGGTGTTTCATTTGCACAGTGTAAATACTCCATTCCAGACTAAGACAAAATGTGTATTGTTCGGTTGTACAGTTGTCAAAATTGTGAAGGTTCATTGCATTTTGTTGTTCTTGTTCTGCTTAATCATGCTTATTACAGAAGGCTGAACTTGTGGAATACATTTCTAGTGTTGCCACTGGTTGTGAAACCTGACTCTGGTCAGCAGTTCTTTTTCCAAGCTGTTGTGTAATAATGCTCCATTTCAGTTAAGGGAGAGTTCAGCTTGTGGCAAATTCTTTTTTCAACTCACGCAAAATGAGACAAACTCAGGGATGCCTTTATTATGTCTGTACAGTTTGAAGTTTTGTTAGACTTTACTGTGTACTCTTTATCCTTCCGTTAATAATATTTCTAAACAACATTTCACAAGTACATGCAGTTGCTTTTGTGAGCTCTAGCACCAAGTAGGTTAGCTTATTGATAAAATATCACTTTTTTAATATAGAAAGCGAGAAATATGTAGATTTGTCTATTCCTTAATTAAATTAGCCTTCATTTAAACACATATTTCTCAAACTTTTAGCAGAGCTATTGACCCCATAGACATCCTGGGAATCCGCTAAATTCAACACCACCCAGCAGATTGTACCTTGTAGACATCAGAAAGGCCTCACTGAGTTTGTCACACCCTGGGTTACATTTCACTGTAACTCAGGGTAATCCCCTTTAAGAGACACGTCTATGAGAAACATGGTGTACTGTACAATTCATGACATTTCATGCTGAATGTTGTTTGAAGGTTGAAATTAACTTTTTTTAAAATTTTTTTTTACTGCTTTTAGAAGAGAACATTTTGGGGAAAATGCTTACTTGGCATAATCGCAGCATTTTTAAACAGATGATATGCACTGAAAATATCAAAATCCACAATCATACTAATGGAAAATATAACTTTTGCACTAGTGAGTGCAGTAGAATAAAAGCCTCTATTTGTTATTTCTAAACAGAAACAAGTCAGATTATGACAACAAGCCCTAAATGTGCATAAAGGAGCACAGTGTTAAAATTGTTTTCTATATCTGTGATCGATATTCTGAAATTACCTCACTCCTAAGGTGCATTATAATATTTAATACTCATTCTCCTCCTTAACCACTCAGTATATACATGCACTGAGTCCTCACAGGACAAGCATGGCATGTATGGAGTCCCCAGTTCAATCCACTTCAGTACTAATTCTTCAGTTCAAGTTCATGTGATTGACAAGTCATGTTTTTGAAAGCTTCTGTCTCTGGACCTGATTATGCTGACTTGGCAGTTTGTAAATTTGTCAGGATGGGTTTATTTTAGTGAAGCCGGTATATCTTTGAGATATATATGAAGCTGTCAGTTTTAATTGAGACCCTGAGGTCTCATTGACAGTGTGTTTTATTGATTGCTGATGACATTTCATTAGCTGGGTCTTTAATTTCTGTGCCTGACAGAAAAGCAGTACGGTGACTAGTGCAGAGGTCCTGTGGCAAAAATGACTATCGGCTGTTGTCTAAAATGTCTGTTTTTATCTTTCCTCACTGAAGAAATATGGAGATCGCATTTTCTTTCTCTGTATATACGTGAGAACCATTTAAATCATGAAGTAGTTGACACATAAATGTGTTTTTTGTCTCTGGAGGGAAAAATGTCAGAAGAGCTTTTTGTCTTTGTCCAAATAAGCTTGTCTCTGAAGCTATCGGTCGCTAGCTGAAGTTTGAGAAGAGTTTATGTATATTATGTATATTGTTGTATAAACTGTATGTGATATCTTCTACACTGACTGCCCTTGTTACGCATTCTCGTATTAGGAACAGAGATATTTTGACATGAATCAAGATGTCAGCCAAAAGTCTCTGCATATGTGTATATACACTTAAAATACACACACAGGTGTGTATGTACAATACGGTACGCCTTGCTTGGATAGACTCGTGGCAGTTTAATGAAAACACAATCAGTATCGCTGTTGTGAACTGAAAATGAAGGTGTGCTTATTTAATCTCATGGTTGTGTGTTGATGTTGTAGCATTGAAGTCGAGGTGCACTGTCTGTCGTCTTTCTCCTGCGATTCATGAGCGATGTTTCACCAAGATTATGTAGCAGTCATGAAAACTAAATCATCTGGTTATTTCAGTCGGTTAAACCAAAGACACATTCGGTTGCCTGGGTTCCTGTCTGTGCTCTCGTATGAAGGATAAATGACACTGCTGGTTGTGTGGTCGTCCACAAAGTGTTATTACTTTTAAAAACATCCTCCAGGGAGTGTCTGTAAAAAGTGTGTTTAAAGCACATTGTAGTCCAGCTCTTATACTGCTTCAGGTCTAATTTTTGATTTGCTGTTTGTTCTGAAACCAGAGCGTACACAAACAATAAATCAAATGGGGCGTTTAAGTATTCTCACTTATTGGCACAACCCAACGATATAGTCTTAATTTTTCATTATCAGGATATGACAACAATGGAACACGGATGTACATGTGAACTTACTCGGTGGTTTTCAGTGCTTGGAACCCTATAAAAATGTTTCCAAGACTTTGACAAAACTATCTCAACTCAAGGTTCACTTACAAGCCTTTTCCCCTCCAGAGCTTTCAACCATAACATAACGGTCTTCATCAGCATAGTAAAGCCAATGCTTAACATAAAGGCCAACTCGGACGAGAAGTCCTAAAAGTGCTATTGGTGAAATCATGGCAGCTACCTTGTCAAGACGAGTGAGCAAACTCAATCTGCTAGTGAAGACCAAGTGATATTGGTTGAAAGCTTTGGAAAATGTGGGGTTTGATTGTTTCAGGGTTACGGAAGACCTTTCATGTTAACTTTAAGACATTTCCACATCTGTTCATTTTCCTGTACTGTCCAACTCCGTCTCCTTTTTAATTCTGAATGAGAGATGTTGGGCAACGGGAAAACTGGTGTAAGAGCACTTTAGTTCTGCTCCAGGTACGAGACTGTTGGCAAACCTCAACAGTAAAGGTGGATGCTGCCTGTTGGTGCCACTGTTTGGATCAACTCAAGTCTTAAATGATCTTTTGCTGTACTGAAATGCTTAACCTTTTTGCTCTGTTTTAAAAACTTGGAAGCCAGTCAGTCACATCACTGCGTCTGTGTCTGTCTGTGTCTGTCTGTGTCTGTCTGTGTCTGTCTGTGTCTGTCTGTGTCTGTCTGCGTCTGTCTGTGTCTGTCTGTGTCTGTCTGTGTCTGTCTGTGTCTGTCTGTGTCTGTCTGCGTCTGTCTGCGTCTGTCTGTGTCTGTCTGTGAGAGTGTGTGTGTGTGTGTGTGTGTGTGTGTGTGTGCACTCGCCACCAAAAACACAGCAGGAACATTTCTAACAGACGTGTTTCTTGTTGTGTTTTATTTTTTTTAATACACACACTCATGCACACATATTGGACCTGTAATGTGTAAATAATCGTCAACATGTTATTTCCTCGGCCAATTTTACACTAGTCACTTTGGATAGTAGCATACTTGAAGGGGAAAAATGAATGTTTATAATGCTTATTATTATTGTCTGTGAACTTTTATTTACCAAGAGCTGTCTAACGACGTTTGTAGCACACAGCAAAACTGATTTTTGTACCATTTTATTTTATTCACTGCGAGACCTGTGGACACAAACTGCTGCCTTAGAAAGAGTTTAGTAATAAAAAGTCATGAAATTGTATTTATCTGTGTATTTATTGTCTTTTGAGTCTTCAAATCATAGCTGAGAAACACTAATTGTTTGGTTTGCAGCATATTTGGATCATTGCTGTTTAGGCAGAGGTCAAGCATGCAATGAATATTTCCCGTTCGAGTAAATTTGAATTTACAAGGATTTGTTCTCCCTTTTTTCCCGGCATGCATGTGTAACATATAATTCTCCCTCATTATTTAGATTTCTATTCAGTGGTTGTCAAAATAATCATGACCACCCAATTAGCTAGTGTCTAGGTGGTGCAGTAACAGTGTTATTGACCCTGTGTTTAGACGGCCTAATAACAGTCTATTCCCAGACAAAGCTCTATTTTCAGGTGCTGTGGTTGTGGCTGTTCAATCCCTCTGTAGACCTTGCTAAGAGCAGGGCTGTCGGTTCCTGCGTTATTGTCATTCTGGCTGGGAAGACGCTACAGTAGTGGCCAGTTTTTATTGTCTGCTGTCATTAGTGGCTTTCGTCTGTCTCCTCTCAACAATTATTTTTCCAGGCTGCTTCCCCTGTGGAGCGAAGCTGCATTTTACTCCGTCTTTGTTTCTGTCTCGTTCCTTCCACTGCTCTGCCCATTTCATGTCTCCTTGTCTCTTCCCCTCTCATCCAGCGTCTCCAATCCTCCTCAGCTCAACCGCCTCGCAGCTCGAAGGCGTTTTATGTAATGCAGTTTGCAGGAAGTCAGGAGTCTTGGCTGTTGTTATTCTGCGTCAGAGGCCCTTCTCACCGCAAAGTTAAACAAATAGATGCTCCACAGAGACGGACGTGCAGACAAACCTCCCTGCAGGGCCATAAAATGCGGAGACAAATCTTAGTTTGATAGACTCTGTCAGCAGTTGGTTTATATTTGTTTTTGCTCTTCTCTGCACTTTGCCACCATGCTCGTTTGAATGAGCCATTAGGCCATTTAAAGAGTTCAGCCTGGCTACTGAGCAACAGAACAATATAAATTCTGGGGTTTTTTTGGCTTGTGGCCCCTCAAAATGAAGCAGTGTCTACTTGCGACCCTGTCACCTTGTAATTGAGTAATTATTATAATTCTACCTCTAAATCCCCAGACTAATTACTTGCTAGCAGCTCTGTGAGGCTTGGCACTGCGGTGCTTTTAAAATTCTAATGTCAGCGTGCTAACATGCTCACAATGACAATATCAATGCTGACAATGTTAAGCAGGTAAAATATATATAATAAAGTATAATGTTTAATCTCCACCATCTTAGTCTAGTGTGTTTGCATGCTAATATTTCCCAATAAGCACTTAACTCAAACTACAGCTGAGACCATAGACTGTATAATTAAAAAGGTTGAGACTGATGGAAATGTAATAAGTTTTGCAAGTATTTGTCATAAACCATATTGGACAAACGAATTCACGATTTGGTACATGAATGTCTGTACCAAATCTTACATTTATGGCAATCCATCCATTTGTTTTTGAGACATTTCACTCAAAGTCACACAAATGTGAACCTCATGGGGGCCCTAGAGGAAAAGCCAGAGGATCATGAAAGTCGGATTCATCCTTCAGGAGCCATAAAAATCTGTAAAAAAAATAAAATAAAGATCAATTCATCCAGCTGTTGTTGAGATATTCAGCCTGAACCAAAGTGGTGGATTGAATGACCGACACTCCCATAGATAGACCCACGCTTCTAGCATGGCTAACAAAGTAAAAAAAAAAAAAAAAAGAAAGCTAAATCTAATAAATAAACATGATTTTGTGTGGTAGAAATATGTGTTTTTTTCTCTGTTGCTATACTGTTAATCATTTGCGACCCCTCAGATTTATCTTGCGACCCCTAACCTACATCTGCACTGTTTTAAGATCAGATTACATCGTCCTCAGCCTCCAGCTTGCTGTTTTTGCAAGTGATGTTATGAAGGGATATGCTGCCTGCTTATCTGAGTGTTGTTTCATTGCTCCTGGCTGACACAAAGATCCTCCTGTTGAAAAAGACACAAAGCGGACTCTCTCTGCTAACACCCAAAGGTGATTATGGGAAGACAGCCGGTAGGAAAACAGGTTTCTCCGCCAAGGCTGCTTCAAACTCTGTTTACATAACCTCCTTGGCAGGTTGTGGTATGCTCTGGAAACAAGAAGTTTGGATAAGGTGTTTTGATTTTTTCAGGTTGTAGCTGTTATCAGTGATAGATAAGGAGCAGGACAGTAAAGGTCCGTGTCCTTCAACAATGGTGTGTAGTTACATATTTACAGTAAGTCTCCTCAGACACTAGATATTTCTCAAGGGTTGTAAAGTGTGATATGTAAACTTGGACTGATTTCATGCTGTCTGCTTCATAGTTTTGCTTTGGATGAATAAGAATCATTGTTCCTCCAACTGGTCTTCCATCTAGCATCGACAAAGGAAGTCCCTGTGTGAGGGCAATGGTGAAAAGGCCTCCTCAAAGAAAGGTTATGCCAGGTAGAAATCAGATCGGTTGGAGGGCTATTGTTCTGCCAGAGGAGACGCCTCAGGTGAATTGAAAGGGGGAGATGGATTATAAAGGAAGTGTGCTCTGTGCTGACTCGCCCTTTGTGTTCACAGCATTTGCATTTGGCAGTCAGCTGTAGCCTAGTGACTGTCTCTGGTCATTCCAGTTTCATTCCCATGAGCCTGTGTGCTGATTTCACTGCATTGGGAAGGGATGAATGCCACCATTGTGATCATCGTTCCAGAGAAAACTCATGTAGTTTCATTGAAACAACTCATTGCTTGATTACAAGATAATATTTCGTATAAGATAAAAGTAATCATTTTGGGAAATATGCATATTTGCTTCCTTTAAAGAGTTACATGAGAAGATTAATACCACTCTAATAATTGTCCTTTTAGTGGTGAGCTGAAGCTGGTGATCGCTACAAAGCCAAAATGCAGCAACTATATATTTGACCAAAATTGAGTTTAGACTGGAATTTTTTTGCATCTGTTTTACTATGCATGAAAATATGAAACCACAGAAGTGTATCATTTCATGTAATTTCAACAGCATGTAAAATTTGCTGTGTCAGCAAAACTAAGCTTAGAGGCCCTTTGCACAGAAGAACAGCGGCTAAACAACACTTTATCATAATATGTATGTATGGAACTTTATCAAGTGAATGCTAGCGAGTGAGGTTGCAGCGTTAGCTAGGGTTAAAGCTAAAACTTAATTTGCATACTGATGTTTACCAAGTTGTTAAAATCTAAATTTAAAAAGTTCATGCACTGTAACTATAACCTATAGATTTCAGTATAAGTATTAGTAGCGTGGGCAAACACACTTACAATACATCGCAGGCTACATTCACACAGCAAGTCGATTCTGATCTATGGCTCCAATCAGATTTGTTTGGTTTGTTTTTTTCTGTTCACATTACTTTTTTGAATGTAAAAAAGCAAATGTTAAAAGTTAAAATAAGTATATTTCCCAACGTGATGAAGTATTCCTTTACAAAACTGTTTAATGTGCTGTTTAAACATATTCAGCTAATTGCTGCAGGAAATTCATTTTCTATAAACTCTGTGGTCTGAATGGCAGCCGTTTGATCACTAAGAAGATAATTTTCCATCTTTGCAACGATTAACATTGTTAAATCAGTGCAAAGCTTTGAGTATTTTCCGTCCGTAAATCAGGATGCAGTATTGTTCAAGGCTGTGCAATGTGGGAGGTCTCTGTGGCATTTTCAAAGAAATAGAAAGAACTTCCCTCATACACACACACAAACGCACACTCGCACACATTTTTTATACCTAAAGTCAAATGTTGTTGGTGCCAAGACAAATAGCCTCCTGGCAGCTAGCATGGAAAACCCTCTCCATGTCAGAATGTGAAGATGTGGGCAATTTAAGTAGCTAAGTTTCTCCCTGGAAAGACCTAATAGGAGCTTTGTGTTGAAGTTTCTTACCATCATCAGAGTTGTTTCTGAAAGTCTGTGACAAACATTTGGTAATATGTGAACTGCTTTTAAGAGAATGGGAATAAGAAGTGGAAGGAAATCTTCACATCCATGTATATCTGGAGTAAAAGGGAATAAAATGCTCGCAGGAAACCCTTAACTCCAGATAGCAATGTGAAATGAATCTAAAGTAAATAAAAGGCCGCTGTAGGGTCCCACTATATCAGGTGAAGCAGATGCACTTCGGTTGATGGTGCACTTAAACCTTCCCTTATTATCTCAAGAAACTCTCTATGCGGATTTGTTGTCTCTTTCGAAGAATGTAGCCTGCGGTGGTGCACTTCACTCCAATAAACCCTTTCAGCATCATCAAAAGCTGAGCAAAGTTGTTGTCTCTGTCTAAATAAGATGGCTTTGTGTCCTACATCTGTGTGCTCTTTTATATCTTCCTTGAGTGCTTCTACAACTTCAGAACCACCACAACTCTTTGTCCCTGACAATCTTTTTGTTGAATGTAATATTAGCTGATGAAGGGGAAAGGGGAGAGAGTTTTCTAGAAAGGTCTGAGACACAAAATCAGAGCAATCCAAGCGGACAAACAGGGATGAGAATAACTGCATACAGCTTCCTCAGCACTTCCCTCTTTCTTCTTGGAAGAGTGGAGCGCAGCAGAGCTCATCACAAGTGTAGCGCTGCTCTGCAGGGGGGATCTAAACACAGCCTCTCTGATTTAGAAGCTGGAACGGAGCAGTCGCCAGCCTCCCACCAGAGCTGGCAGGGTTGGATGGCTGTCTGGCCGCTGTTGATGGAGGAAGGAGGGAGGGGAGGGGGTGGAGACGGGAAAACACTGCCAAAAGACCAAAAGGCCACTAACTGCTGTAACGCCAAACACCAGAATAAGACAAAGCTGGGTGGATTTGTGTGCCAGCATGCAGAAAGAAAGAATTTGAATTTAAAAACGCCTTTATTTTACTACTCAAAGGTACTACTATTAAACACAGACATGCCTATATGAGACAGAAACCCAACACAGAAAACAAAAAGGACAGAGTCAAAAATAGTCAGCTAAAGCCCATTTTAAGCTGAATATCTTATATTCAGT